GAGATTTGCGCCTGTTTAGCTTGTTGTTGTTGCTATTTCTTAATTATTTAGCCAGGCCTGGGCACTGGAAGAATAAAGTATTTGCCAAAGGAAATAGCGCAGTGAGTGTTTCGGCTTTGACGTTTCTCGTGAGGCAGGGCCGTGGGCCGAGTGCCAGGGCAGCGTCTGCAGCGCAAGGCCGTGTGGCCGCGCGGAGCTGCAGGGCACAGGGCAGGGAGTCAGGGCTGTGGCGACGCTGCCGTGGGAGCATCCGCATGGCTGCGGCCCCCGTGACCACCGGGGCACTGTCAGAATGCTGCAGTGATCGCAGGGTGGTGTGTCCATGGGAATTCCAAACGGGACGATTTCCGCTAGCGAGTGCCTCCGCGCAGTGCGGGGCACGTGGCCTTCTTCAGTAAGCACCTGGTTGGGTGTTTATTGAGCACCTGGGGGAGAGAGCGAGGCGGGTGGTGCGGCGGGGCGCGGGGCTGGCGCGGGCAGCCGCGGGGCCGGCATCGCCTTGCTCTCCCACAGGCCGCTCCGGAGACTTGGGCAGCCCCGGCACCACGGGCAGCCCTCGCCCCAGCCGTTCCCCCCACACACCCTGTTGGCACAAACAGCTGCAGCAGCTCTTCTGTGTCCATCTCTGCAGGTGCTGGCCACGCTGGGGCTCGTTATTGGAAATACAGTTCTTGGTGCTTATGGCAGGGACTTTTTGGAAGACTTTGGATGTATTTTTGTTGACTGAAATCTGCTTTCATCACATATGGGTTCATTTTGGGCTGTCATACCTGGGGCTATCTGGTCCCATGGTGCTGCTTCCAGGACCAGTGTTCAACTGCAGTGCGTTTTGCTTTTGCCACGTGTGTAGTACTGTGCAGGTGCGTATCTGTGTGCAGTTATCCGTGTGTCCTTCCTCTTATTCACCACCCCAGTTAGATGCTAAATGTAGGGGAAAAAATGATCAAGTTGAGTGGAAATTTGGGCTGCCTTTAGTACAAGGTTGGAAGAGAGCTCGTGTAATGGTACGTATGAAAGGGTGAGCAGCTGCGAAGGGCAGAATAACTTCAACGTTGACAGAAGCAATGACTAACAGGAGACTCAAATAGCTCTTACTGTGAATGTTTTGGTAGGTGGTCTTCATAGGCTGGGTCTCTGAAACTCTCTGTTAATGGATGGAAAAGTTGTAGATCAGCCCTCAGTTGTCCAGGTGTGCTTCTGGCTCCGGGTGCTTGTTGGTGACTGAAAATTTCCCAAGAGGATAGAAATTGTAGATGCAGAATGGCCAGCTACAGTTACGTGAAGTTAGGAGCTGTTTTCTATCCGAACGGAGGAATTTTGGATGGGAAATCTGTGCCAGAAAAAGTCAAGTAACTAGATAGGCATTTAATAATCTCCTTTAAGTCTCGGTAGCAGCTGCCCTTGTGCCTATGCGCGCTGCCTGGTTGCCGCGCTGCAGGGGCACCAGCTGCTGCAGACAAGGGACACGTGCGAGGAGTGCAGGGCCTTCGGCCCCTTAGAGGGAGGAGGAGGAGGGAGCCTTCCTCCCCTGAGTGGAGCTTGTCGCTCTGCAGCTCCCAGGGCCGGGAGGAGGTTCCCTTTGTTCTCACCATGGTGGCAGGACCTCCACGCGCTCAGGATCGCTTTTCTGCACACAAGGGTTACTTGGCCATTGAGCCCACCTTGGAGGAAAGGCCCTCAGCCTGGCTCTTGCCTTTGCAGGGTGGTGTGACACTCGTGAGTATGCGTTGGCCCTTGTCCTGTCCTCCCTGCTCCCATCCTCGTAGTCCTTCCTAGAGTGATTTATCTCCAGCAGGTCTGCGGAGGGCAGAGCCAAGTCCACAGAGAGGCTGAGGCTCTCACGGACATGGAGAGCAGGGGTCTGGCCGCGGCGGGGCTGTGCACGGCACGCAGGCAGCACTCCCGCCACGTTGAGTATTCAGGGCGCTGGGAAGGGCTGTGTGTGTTCCGGTAGGGAACCCGCCGTGCAGCGTTACCGCAGGGTCCTCCCGAGGTGCCTGCCGCCGGGCTCGCCACGCTTGGCCGTGCCTGGGTCCCGTGGGCGCACGCCGGGAGCCGGCTCTGCTCGGCGCGCGGGAGCTGGAGCGTGGCAGAGGCACCACCGTCCCCCGCGGGCCGCGCCACCACTGCGGCACGCGGGAACGCTCCCCTCGTCCGGGCTGGTGCCGACGTCAGCGCGGGAAGGATCAAAGCCAGCACTTGTCTCGTCTCGGAATCGAGATTAGGGAATCGGTTACTCTGCCAAGAAATGTGCTAATTGAAACAGCGGTGGTTGAAACAACTGCCTTTCTGGAATGCTGTAGCTCTGATTACACCTTTTAACACTCGCATAGATGTACAGTTAACATCCTCATTAATAATTAATTTGGTGAGTTTTGTCTGAGCGTTATTGTTAGAGACTCAGTTTTGGAGGTGTTTCCTGCTCGCAGAAATTGCTTTGCCTTTCAGTGCTTTCACATGTAAATTCTCTTGACTAGGTGCCTGTAGATGGGCTATAGATGGGCTGTATTACTCTAGATGGGCTGAGAGCTTCTTTATTTCTCTTCTCATCCCAACACAGTGAATAGTGAATTCATAAAATTATGGAAAAGACTTTTTTCTCATATCTGTTCATTATATTAGATTTTACTTTATAATGGCTGGTTGTAAGAAATTGACATTTCATTGTACATCATAGATAAAGATAAAGGTATATGGTTTTGCATATTTAAATTTAACTATATCTGCTCTATTTTCCATAGATACATAAAATACCAACTGTAACAGGACATTTCCCATGTTGGTATATGTGTGCTCCTTGAAGATGCTGAAGTTGCACTTTTTTACATCTCTATCTATCTTCTCACGTATATGTATCTCCTTACCAACCTGGCACAAAATAGGAGCTTTTTTTTTTTTTTTTTTTTTTTTTTTTTGACTAGATATAATGGTGATTTTAAAGGGGTCAGGTATATAGTGTCTTTGCTCTGCAAAAGGCAGTTCAAGTTGGAGAGCTTACAGATAAGAGGATGGTGGCCTCTCACTTTTGAACTGGATTAACATCGCAGGCACGCATAGCTGTGCAGAATCCCGGGCTCGCTCTTGTCGTGTATAACGTTGTCCTTCTCTTTGTCCACTGGTGCTCTGTGTACCTGCAAGCTCCAAAGCGCAGCAGCCGTGCGGCTGGGGATGGTGTCACCGCGGTGGCATCGGGGCGTGCAGACATCACCGGGCGCTTCCCAAAGAGGTCGGTTGCAACCTCCGGAGGTGCTGGGGCTTGGTTAATTTGGCTCTTGATTGCTCACCGGGCTTTCCCCGGGGATGTGAAGGGCTGCTTGCTGGGAGGGAAGCCCTGGCTCAGTAGTTCGATTGTTTCATGTCAGGCTTGCCCATCTGCAGGACAAGCAGGGCTGCAGCGCACTGTGGAGGAGGCCACTTGCCATGGGCTTCGGCGTGTTGTGCTGTGGAGGATGTAGTGTGGGCTTGTGTATTTTGTCCTGTTGCACCCAGGAACGAGCAGCACAGGAGGAAAGGCGAAGGGAAACGGTGCTGAGGTGGTACCCGTCTGCCGCGGGGCTCGGTGGCCCCGTCTGCCGCGGGGCTCGGTGGCTCCGTCCCGCAGGGCACGCTGGCAGCTCACATCCCCAAAAGCTCTCGGCTCCTTCCCGCAGGACATGCTTGCAACTTGCCCTCCCTTTGTGGTGCTGGGGCCTGTGAGCGCAGCCGGGTGGCTGCTGTCTACACAGGCTCCTGGCTCCTGGGGATGAGCGTACGATGGAAACGACTGGAAAAGTACTGTTTCTTCCACTCGTGTTTTCATCTTTCTTCTGGTTCCCATTCAACCTTTCTGATTGAAACTGCCTGCAATAGCGTAGAAGTCCCCCGACAAAACAGCTCTGCACTGGTGCCCGGCCCCTGTGTGCAGATGCAAATAGAGGATGCAGAAGTTGCCCTGCAGCGAGTGATGCTGCAGAGTGATTTCAGAAGCGATTGTGTGTCGGTGCTGTGAGCTGCTCCCCTGCACCAGGTGGGACCTCACAGTTTTTCAGCGCGGTGGGAAATGGCCCTGCCTGTCTGCAGGCGCGGAGCAGCCGGTGCCAGCTCCGGCGCCGCGCGGACCGCGCCCCACGTCGCCTGCAGTGCCCAGGACCTGTCCCGCTCTGGAGCCGGCTGCAGCACGCGCGGCCGCTTGGGCTCCCGGCATTCCTGGCTGTGCCGGGGTGTGTCGGTACAATCCGGAGTGGAGTTCCTATTGCTGAGGCACAGAACTAGGCATTATGAGCATTATTTCCTTCCTAAGGAAGTTGAAGCATGCTGTGTGTCCAGAAGAGAGTTGAGTACCTTGTACTTAGTATTTTATAACTATTGAATGCTTACTGGTCAGAGTGGTGCTTGAACTGGGGGGTCAGGAGCAGCTTCCCTATCCTGGAGCACTGATCGGTCATGTTTGCAAGGGCTGGAGCAGCGGCTGCCGCGGCCTCCTGATCATGGCCCGTGGACGCGGCCCTCTCTGCTGCTCCAGCTTCCTCTTCCCCAGGACCTGCAGAAGCAGCTTTGTTTGGACTGAACTTTTATTGCCAAAATAGTCTCTTTTGTGGCTTGTGCTCGACAGCAAAGCAGTGCTTGGGTGTTCTATTTGTCGTTCTTCTGCGCTGCAAAGTGCCCACAATAATAATCCTATACCTTTTGATGCTTAGAAGTGTAACATTAAGATGTGTAGTATTTTACATACTTCTTGGATTTTGCTGCCTTTAATGTCTACTGCAAAATGGCTCTTTTACAGTAATTTTAAAATGTTATTCTGCCTGGTTGCTTTGCCTAGCCTTCAAGTTCTGCGCGTGATCCTAATTTAAATTTGTGAGGGTCAACCACAAGAAGAGCAACATATGTTGATATTGATGGTAACAAATTTCTCTGCAATTTTGGTTAAGTTTCAAAAATTTGCACAGCAAAGGCAGGAGCAATAATGTGGAATCTTGCAGTGTTGGGTTTATTTAACGTAAACATAAACGTGTGAAATGTTGTGTGTTGCAGGGAGGATGCCAGCCCCGGAGCAGCAGCCCCCCGCGCTGGACGAGGGGCTGTCGCCGCCCGCGCAGGAAGCGGCCGCCGGCCCCGGCAGCGAGGCGGAGGCGACGGCCACCACCATCCTGGCGTCCGTGAAGGAGCAGGTATGCCCGGGCGGCCGCCAGCCAGCGCCGCGCTCCGCAGGACCGCTCCCCTCGCCGCGGCCCTGCCCTGACTGCCCACAGGGAAATAACGTTCCCTCTAAGCGTGTTTCCTAGCCCTAGGATGCTACATTTGGCAGTTATTCAAGTACTGGCGTAGACGAGAAGCAGGTCAGAATCCGAACATAAAGGGTACATTTAGTTGCAATAGGCAGAAGCATCATTATGATAATCTGTATCCGCTGTACCATGTGCATTGAGCTGTTGCTCTAAATCAGACTGCAAATGCAGGTTAAGGGTGTAAAGTCCGGTGTAAAACTTGGGCAGCTCTGAGAAAAAGTAGTTTTTGTCCAGTCTGTATGTTCCATATGGTGTTACAGAAGTACACAGGTAAAGATGTGGTATGAGATGTTTTCTATATTTTTTTAAAGAATGGTGTGAGCTTTGAGTTCAGTTTTAGCTGTAGAAAATACATTGAAAATAATACTGTATTTTAAGTCAATAACATATTTATGCATGTATATTTGTGAACCTATATCTTAGCTATAGTTTCTGTGGAAGGAAAAAATCTGAAATGCGGTTCAGCCTGATTTGGGGTGTTATTTTAAGGAAAAACATTAGTTTTACAAAGAAAATTCCTAACCAGGGTGGTTTTTTTGTTACTGTTTTGTTTGTTTCTTTTAATATAAAAAAGGAAGAGATAAAAGTTGGCTTTCCACTGCCATATCTATAAATAATGATCTGCTGTCTTTTTTTAATATATAGATTGCAACATCTGAATAGGGATTCTTAAGATGGCAATAGCAACCCTAAATGTGTCTCAGGGTTATTAAAGCAGATCTTCCAGTATGAAGGATGTTAATGCTGGAGGCTACTGAGAAGTAGTCTCAGTTAATTGGGTGCCTGTAATTGGAGCCTGGGACAGCAATTGGCCTTGTGCAATCGTAACCTATTACAAATGTTGAAAAGGACTCGTTTGCTTAAAATACACTTGTGTGATTTTAAGTTGGTCTGTTTTATTTTGCAATTAACAGGGAACGTGCTTGTAATCATAGCTCAGATTATGAGCAGTGTTGCAATGAATTGTGCTAGTGTAACTCATAGCAATCACCTGCCAACAATCTTACAGCTGCAGTTGCCTTCCAGAAGTGAGTCTGTGCAGTTCTAGTGCAACACTGAATGCTTAACCAAAAAGACAGTTATGACCACAGTATCTGTACTAGACTGAGGCATGGTACATGTAATAGGAAAAGCATTTGTTAATATTCTCTTTTCTACAAAAGAAATATTTTTCTTCTTTTTCAAAGAAAGACTGCTAAATATATGGACTATTCTGATCAAAGAGGAAAAACAGGTGGTGAAATGGACTAGACTAGAGCTTAGGTGTAATATGCATGGGTGCTTTAGAATGAATGGGAGGGAGAGGGAAGTTCTTGCTTCTGTCTTGCAGATGGTAAAGCAACGTGTTGAGGACCAAGCTGTACCTTTTGAGATCTTTTTTTGCTGCTGATATTGATTGTGGACACTGACACATTCACCACCCTTCCTGTATGGCAAAAAGCCCAGAACAGAATATTTTCCAGTGTGGTTATTTACTTTATTATGCTTGAACAGAGACTAAAATGCTGTTTGCTGTGGCCTAACTTCCTCTTACTCAGGAATCTTTTATCTGCAGCAGGTCTGTGTTTGTGCAATAGAGCTGCCCCACCTTAGCTGGAACTTGAGCACTTTAGCAGCACATACTGCAGCGGAGCCAGGGTGCAGGAGGATCGGCACTGAGCTGGCTGCTCTGCACAAAGCTGTAACTGCCCCAAAAGCACTTGAATTACCACAGCACTTCCGAAACGGGGGATTTAATGCACTGCATGAGTTCAAGCAGCGCCTCCCCCATGGCGCGAGTGAGGGTTGTGCAGGAGCTGCGGCGGGCAGGGCGCTCGGGGACACCCGCCTGGCACCCTGGCCCTTGGCTCGCGAATCGCCCTAAGGCAGCGCCGCGGCCCGGGGCCCTGCTCCGGGAGGGCCCTCCCGGACAACGGATCGGGCAAAAACATCTGCCTGTCCATTTCTGATGTTACAGAACGTCAATGTCTGTCCATTTCTGATGTTACAAAATCATAGCTGCAGAACAAAGCACAACCTGTGGTGAAACCGAGGTTTCTACAACTACATCTGTGCTCTTCTGACAAAGCTTAAGTTTTGTTTCAGCATGAAATTGCATCCCTAATGAGTATTAGTGTAAGCTAGGGCACGCACACACACGTTGGCTCTGCTAAGGCACTTCCATTAGGAATGCATGCAATCCTAAGACAGTTCAACAGTAGTGAAAGTAGCAAAGCCGAAACATATTTGGTCCTTTTTATTTTTTCTTTCTTTTTAATTTTTTTTTCCAGTGGCTATATGGATTATTTTTTTCCTAATCTACCTGTTTCACTTCTAAATACTATGAAGTTTGCATGCTTTTATGGATAGAGGCATCTTAAAAACGCTGAAATTGGTTTTATGTAGAACTAAAGTACTAAAATATGTAACTTTATTTCTCAAAACTGAATCCTGGGAAATAGTTGGGTAAAAGTTTAGCTCTACAGAAAGTCTCTCATTCGCATTTAAAGTAAGCTGAGCATTTGCACACCGTAATAGCATGCTATTACAAATTGGAAAGGCAACATCATAGCCGTAATTTCTTTTGAAATGTTAAAGGCAGCTACTTGCCAAGTGCTTCTCCAGATGAAGGTATAGATTTGTTACTTTACACATGCAAGTCTCATGCCATTGAATTTAAAATGAATTGCTGCTGACTTGGCAGGACCAGATGTGTGACTGGATCACTCGGAATAAACTTCCTGTTTTGCATTTTAGCTTTCCTTTTGGTGATTGGGCTTGGAGAGAGGAAGGTCGTGCTGGGAAAAGCTGGCTCCGGCTTTAAAAGCCAGCTCTAGTGGGTCGTTTTGTCCTCTGTAGCGGTACCGCTTTCCATTGCCTTGCCTTGGTGCACTGAGGAGCATTGGGGGGTTTTCCTGTGGATAGGAAACCTCCAGAGACCTGGGATTGAATGTCTTGCTTGAAGGGTTCACTGTTGTTTAACATTAGAGCAAAGCCTCTTCTTGTTCAGTAATTATAGTGAACCATATATAAGAAGCTCTGAGCTTCACTTTTTTCTCTTGTTTATTGCATGAGTACAAATTTATTTCTCAAGATTTTTTCATAGTTTTCTTTCTACACAAAATTAAGCAAAAATCTTGTGGGTTTTTTTGAAATATGACGTGAGAGAATGTATCTTCTGTATAGCAAAAGATTTGCGTTTGAATTTTTCAAACTTGTAATTACTAAGAATACTAGGGTAGTTTGGGCAGAGTTCTTTAGCAACTCAGATACAGAGGAATTCGATAGGAAGTACTGCGTAATCCGTGTAGATATGTAACTTGAAGAGGGAATCTGAAGGAAGACTCGCCAGGTTGCCGAACTCCTAGTAACTGCGCCAAAGAAAAAGGGACGTGTGGGCTTTGCTTGCAGCCCGTGATCAGTTAGATGGACAGACCTGTGTCTGCTTTCCACAAAGGGTATTCATTCTCTCTCTCTTTTAATTGCTCAGCAAGCAGGGCATGAGTAGGGGGGGGAAAAAAGCCATTGCAAAAATTTTGGTGACTGGAAGGGGCTTTTTATTTAAATTCGCTTGCTGGTGTTATTCCCTAACTTTGCAGTTTACTGTTTCTGTTATTTGCAATCATTTCTGTATTCAGTAAAATCAAGTCTCAGAAGCTCTTGTCTTATTCTAGGACCCCTGTCTCAGATGAAACTGCCAACTCATTTCCTGCATCAAAATTCAGTGTTCTGCTTTATTAATATGAAAGTGTAGAATTTGATTTTTCTTTTCAAAATTTATTGCTAGAGTTCTGTGGAGAAGTCTTGAGAAAGACCCTACCTGGAGCAGTTGGGTATCCTTGAAAAATACCGAAATACTTTTGTACTGCGTGAGTGTTCAGATTGGCTGCCTGCCCGCCGTAGGGCAGCTCAGCTCTGGTTAGCAGCTGGCACCGCCAGGTATGTCCCTTGAGCACCGGTTTAAAACAACCTTAGTTATTGCGGCAGCTTCCAGGGAGCACTGCCCGAGAGAGGTCAGTGCAGGCCTCGAGTGGCTCCTTCCTCGGTGTCTTCCCTATGGGCTGCTACCCACTTTCCTCAGATTTTGATCCCTCGTCTGCTAGAGCAGCACTAAGCTGTTTTACTGGCCTAGTGAGCAATGTAGGCAGAGGCGCATTGAGGGCTTTAGTGGTCTGCCGCTGTTGAATACAGAGGGAGTGAGATCAGCTGCTAATTGTAGTTGGATCATTTCACATCCTGCAATCTGCAGTTCTTTCTACCCTTTCTGATTTTTGCATCTTTTTTATTTTGGGAGATAGTGAGGAACTGAACACACGTAAATGCAGTTGTGGGTGTGAGTAAACTTTGTTTTTCCAAAAAAGAAAAAAAAGATCTTATGGTCAATGAAAAGTTTAGTTTTGTCTTATCAGAGTCTCGTGGAGGATTGTATCATAGGGTATTCAGGTTGGAAAAAGTACAGTATTCAATGTGCGTTTTTAGTAGTCTGCGTCTGAATGCACCCCAGAATTGCAGCCGGCCGGGGGGGATCTGCGCCGCCCAGCGCACGTGTGGAGCCGGCAGCGTGTGGGGAGCAGAGGGCCGGAGTCCTTGCCGTGTGTGGGAGTCGCGAAGCGCCCGGCACGCGGCCGCCGCCTCTGCTGAGCACCGCTGGGCAGCGCGGGCAGCGGCGAGGCGCGCGGCCCTGCGCCGCACGTGAAGGAGGAATAGCCAACTCCAGGGACAATACTCAGCCACCCAAGTGTTCCTGTTGGGCGCGTCACGCGGGTGCTACGGGTACTCGTGCGCGTGGCGCGGAGCCGGTGCCGTTCGGCAGCTGGAGCGGCGTTGTGCAGCCTGCGGCGGTGCAGCCGGAAGCCCCATCCCGTCGCTGCTGGGCCTGACCCAACAAGCACCAGTGCTGGGTCTCCGCGATACTGCGTGGTGCCAGAGCGCGCACGGAGGCGGCAGCTCTGAGCCCTGCTCTGGGATCCAAAGGCCACTCATCCCTGGATGCCGATGCCTGAGCTCTTACTGCATAGACCAAACTGCTGTATTCAAGAAATACCATGTCAAGTTATAAATCAAGGACACAGAAAGAAAAGACTCTTCTTCCGTGATGCTTTCAGTTAAATCTCAATGATCTTTTTCTTCTTTACCTGCCTGAGATCCTCAGATCTAAACTCTGAGGTGGTTTTTGGAACTGGTGGAGCTTTGTTTTCTGGCTACAAAACTTGAATTTGCTCTATGGAGTTCTCGTGGAATGTGGGGAGAGAGACCCTCTCATACTGCTTGCAGTAAGTTTGCTGTGAAATAAGAAAAATACAGCAAATCTTCCACTTTTTTGCTTTTTGTCATGTTACTGCTCTACAAAAAATAGTATTTTCTGCAACTTTTAAACCTCTGTAATATTTTAGGAAAGACTTGCTGACGAGAACAGACTAGATGCTGACAAGCCTGTATTTTATTTTTCGTTCTCCTGTGCTGATTCCCTATTCCTACTGCTATCAATATTTCTTTCATTTTGCTTCCTCTTTCCTCTGGTGCGTATTCCCTTTATTGTTATTCTTAGTTGATTGGCCTTAAGTAGAAGGTTTTCTAGAACGTTTCCACGTGCTCGGAGGGTTTGGTAGCCCCCTTCTTCCAAAGCACACATCAGCAGAGCGTGTCCCAATGAAAACAGTGTCCCCTGGGCAGAATCACCCGGGCGCTGGTGCAGAGGCCTGGCTCGGGCTGCGGGAGGTGGCGCGGGGTGGACGCGCGCTGGTCACGTGCAATAACATTATTCTGCAAAACAGCCTTGTTTTTGTTAATGCCTCTGTCCGTAAGGGAAGGCAAATTAGTAGAGGCTCATGGCTGACATCTCCTTAATTTTGCTTATCTAGTGAAAAAACACCAGTAATAGTTGGAATAACAAATATGCAATTTGAGTCTTGTGTTCGTAGTTTGTAGAAATGACATTGCTATGAGTGATGTCGCTATTTAAATATTGATTTAGAAGCAAGGAATAGGAAAGAGCCTTAACCAGAGGGTAAATCTTATATATCACTACAAGCAAGGAGCATAATACTGTTTATTTTAAAAATGATCACATATATTACATGCTCTCTAATATATTTTACTTGGAGAAAGCCTTGTCATGCCATCACTTGCTTCAAAACTTAAGGAGATTTAGTACATAAACATTTCTTTGAAAATCATGGCACACTTACCACTGGCATATTAATGGCTTGCTGGTGAACCAGCTTTTAGGTGAATATTTCATCTATATTCAGATTTGCAAATGAAAAATAAACTATATATGTTTAATTATTTTGCTAAAGATGCATTTTTAATCCTTTATTTCCAAAGCATAGACAGTCTTAAAGAAGTAGTGACAGGATGCATATGCACCTCTCGATGTAACATGAAGCTATGTCCTGTTATGACTTGCCATCAAATTCCGAAGATTGGATCTTTGCTGTTGTATGCAGTTACGTGCTGTACAAACCCTCTCACACTATCCATGCTTTCTAGTCCATATTTAGGCCCCTAAACTTCATGGTCCAAAGGTTATGGTTCATAAGGCTTTTTGTATCGAGTCTCAGGGCTGAAAGGATTTAGCCCTAGAATCCCATTGAAAAGAGGCTCATTTGGGATGTGTGTCCCAAAACACCTTTTCCATGTGTGACTTGGAGAGCTTCTCCTGCTCTGAAGCTTGTCGGGATGTGCCAGCCTGACAAACAGGGTTGTTTTCTCTCCTGTGGACAGCGGCCGAGTGGCTCCATCAGCCGAGGATCGGGACGGCCGGGCCCATGTTGCTCTGCTGCCCTCCCTGTGGTTTGCGGGGAGAGGAAGGGGCTTTCGCTGTAAGCATGCAGACATTTCAACATAAAAATTCTTTGTGCCTGGAGGACAAGTGTCACGCTTGGGCTTGCAGAATCCAGGTGGCTCTCTGTTTTTTAGGTTCTTTTGATTACCTGAGCCCAAAACAAGCAGTAAGCTATCTTAGGGTTCTAAGATATTACCATGGCAATCTTAAAGTATTGCTTGATATAGAAGCCCAAGATTGGTTTTAGTTCTAAATTAAGAAGAACTCAACATCTATGCTATCATCAAAGAAATATATTATGCTTAATGACCACTTTTTCTACTTGATCCCTGAAGTTGGTGTCCGTGTTTTCTTGTCTTCTGGTCTAAAAAATTATTATAAACTTTTGGACTCCCAGCTATAACTCTGTTGATATCCAGATATTTGACTTGCTGAAGATGAAATGCAGCGACTTCCAAAAAGAGGAGGAGGAGGGAGGGTCGGGAGCGGTGAGGCCTGGGAAGCAGCTCTCCGGCCGGCAGGGCGGGCTCGGCTCCCCAGCCGCACCTGCTGGTGGGTCCGGCCGGCTCCGGGGCAGCCGCTCAGCCGTCCCGCTGGAGAGGCCGGGGGAAACGGCCCCATTGGTGCGGGGCAGCCCCTGTCCGTGGAGCGTCGGTCAAAACCAGCCCCCTTGGTGCGGGGCAGCCCCTGTCCATGGAGCGTCGGTCAAAACCAGCCCCGTTGGTGCAGGGCAGCCCCTGTCCGTGGAGCGTCGGTCAAATCCGGCCCCGTTGGTGCAGGGCAGCCCCTGTCCGTGGAGCGTCGGTCAAATCCGGCCCTGTTGGTGCTGGGTAGCCCCTGTCCGTGGAGCGTCAGTCGAAACCGGTCCCGTTGGTGCGGGACAGCCCCTGTCGTGGAGCGTCGCTCCGGCAGCGCTATGGGGTCCCCAGAGCAGGAGTGGGGGAGAGGGGCCGCAGGCCCCGCAGAGCCGGTGTTGGAGCTGCCGCAAGCAGGGACTGCTTTCAGGGTCCCTAATGAGGATAAAGGGTTGAAGTTTCCTTTCTGTTGAGACTGTAAAAAATAGCATCTGTGAGCTGTGATACATGACTGAGGCATCGTGTCACGGCAAGGCAACTAACTACTGGCTGATACAATTGCACAGTGTATATTCAGGAAATAAAGCTTGTTAGTAGTTTAATTTACTCCTTAAAGCTAAATAGATATTTCTGTGCAACTTTGCGGCAAGTCGTGATCCAGTATTTATCCAATTCTTAAATTGTGTAGTTTATCTAATTTTATATATTATTAAAGAGTTTACTTGTAATGTTCAATGAATATGGAACGCCAATTTGAGAAAAAAATACTATTGCTCTCATAGTTTTTGTTAATGATAGAAAAAGAACCGTAAAGCAGGAGGTCTCTTTTATCCCATGGTGACATAATATGGATTTTAGATTATTCTGTTTATAGAAGATCTTTCTAGAGTTTAATTGCGATCCTTCTTTGTCATTTATTTTTGTGTTTTGCTTTGAGCATTATTTTCTGAAAGCCAACATTTGTAAAATGGGGAAGGGTTGATAACTTTGACCAAGAAATTTAACAAGATTTGAAACCAGAAATGTTGAAGAAGCATATCAGTACCTTCAACCATTTGAAACAATAAATTATAAAATTTTAAATACAGAAGTCACCACATAGTGTAGTTTAGGATTCAGAGTTTTGCAACTGGAAAGGATAGGACACAGTTTTTTCCAGGATACCTCTGATATAGGTGAAAATGAAGACTGACCTTATAGGCTCTTAATTTATCAGGCCATGGCAACAGAAAGAGATACCAAAATCTAAATTGCAGGACAAATAAAAACTGCAGATGCTCGAACACTGGTTTCCTTTTTTTAACAGGTGATAAGGTAGTATTTTCATGAAGCATTGATCTAAAGAACCATTAAATCTTCGCTTTAATCTTCTAATAATTTATTCCAGTGAAGAGGAGTCAAAACAGATACTGATTGCTGCAGAATTAATCCGCACGCATTTTTAACATCAAGAATGCTTTTCTTTTTATTTTGAAATTTCAGGAGCTCCAATTTCAAAGACTTACCAGAGAACTGGAAGTGGAAAGGCAAATTGTGGCTAATCAGCTAGAAAGATGTAGGCTTGGAGCAGAATCACCAAGTATCGCCAGCACAAGGTACAAGTCCTAATGACTCTACTTTCATATATCCCATAAATTAAAGGGCTTTTTAGTGGTGCATATGTTATATATATATATATATATATATATGTATACATATACATATATATACATACACGTTCACATACCTTCACATATGCATGCACATATATATGCATATATATATACACATACATATCAATAGCTGTTCACTTCTCATTAGTATCATAAGTATAAAAAATGTAGATTTGCCATGAAGAGTTATGAATGTGTTAAAAAGGCATCTTAATTATTGATTGCATTTTCAGTATAGTGTTTGTAAAGCTTCACTTTTGCTTTAAGTTTGCTGAAGTTCGTTTTTAAAGATTCATCCAATAAAAATGTGGTAAGGCTTATAAATATTTGTATTAAGTAACATTTCTAATTAAATCAAGTAATCTTGACAGTACTGTTTTTTTCCATATTCATTTTCTAGTTTTATTCAGTTCTTTTGAAGTACTTTATATTGTTAAATTTGTTTCAGGGATTATCTTGTTATATGCTTGTTGTTAGTGTATTTTAAAAATTGTAAAACATACCTAATATATTTAACATACAGCGACAATAACTGTAGTGAATTATTACTTTTTAACTGCAAATAGTACATTGATTATTATAATTATTGATATTTCCTTTGCAAACTTTCAAATACTATATTTGTTTGGGTAGTCATTTGTCTCGGAGGTCTTAAATGCTTTCTTGAATCTGAAAATCTTCATAGTAATATCTTCTCTGATGAAACAGTTGTACCTGCATTTCAGGTTGCAACGAACTCCATGTTGGTGTGTACATATAGGGATACATTTTCACATATAACTTTCACGTACAGAGAAGACTGGAGTTATCCTATAAATAATCTAAAAGTCAGTGCATTTTTTGAAATATGCAATAACAGTTGTATCAAATACTCTTATTTAGCAAGATGTAAAACATAGTTTACAGCATTTGTAAATATGGAGTAATTTCTGGGTTTGGTTGCTTTCTTATGGCTCAATGCCATGTGTATAGAGGAGATGATGAAAGTGTAGAGGAAGAAACCATTCACACTCGAATTAAGTTATTGTGTTACGTATATTAGTATGCGTAAGTTTGGGAGTCTAATTATACTCTTCAAGTACCTGTTTTCGGGGACCATAAGTCTTCTGCACTTCATTAATGAAGTACTTCACAGACTTGAAGTCCGGTTGTATTTGAGATTCTTGCAGCCGCAGCTTCGTGCTGCGCCCTGCGGTTGTTTCTCCAAACGTCCCCGTTGCAGGCAGCGCTCGCGGTGCACGAGCCCCGTGGCGGCACACCGGGCAGCCTGGACCTGCACGCCGTGCTTGGCTAGCGCTCCAACCCGTGTCATTCAACGTGCACGCGCTTCTGCGGGGTGGGCGAGAGGCTGCAAAAGCCGTGTTGGAGCACGAGGCACCTCCGCTTCCTTGCGGTGCTGCTGTGAGAGCCGAGCAAGGCAGAACAGCAGCTGAGGTGCAGAGCGTCAGAGCAGCCACAAAGACTGTGGCTGTCAGCAGAACTTGCAGCCATAGAAATGGGTACTGTCCCAAAGCAGCTGATGGAAGCATTCTGGTGGGACTGACAGGAACCCGGTGCGATGGCACCGAGGCGCAGGGCGGGCTGGGAACTCGGTGCTGGGCAAGGCTGGCAGCCTGGGTGAGGAATCGCAGAGACACTGGGTGCTCGGGAAGCAGGAAGGTGGGTGTTTCCTAGCCAGGTACAGTATCTGTCTGTCCTGAGAGGATCTAGAGTAAAAAAGGAAAAAAAAAAAAAAAGTGTCATAGAAGTATGAGATGTAAAAACCTTTAAAACCTTTTTATTTTTCCCCTTTGCCCAGGTTTTCTCTTCCCTAGGAGATAAGCATTGCTTTGTATCAAAGCCAGTGCTTTGATCTCCCCATGCTTGCAGGTTAAACAGCAGGGCTTCAAGTGCGCCGATAAAATATGTGGGAGCTCAGACGCTGTTTAGAGGTCCAGCTCAAGCTGTTGTTGCCCTCAGGGTTGTGGTATTGCTTCTAATTTACCTGCTCACAAAACAGATCTGCAAATCAGCGTCAGGTCAGGGTAGTGCTGCTCGTAATGATGGGTAGCGAGCCAGAGCACAGGTACCGCCGGAGCCAGGTACCACAGGTATCTCCTGTGCACAGGTACCACTGGAGCATGGGCACAACCTGTGCACGAGTACCACTGGAGCATGGGCACAGCCTGTGCATGGGTACCGTCTGTGCTTGGGTGCCTGTGTGGCAACAGCAGCCATCTCAGTTGTGAGAGCTTTGGCTTCGGGCTGGCTTAGAGAGCTGTTTGAGCTGGAGTATAAAACCAACAACAGACAGAGCTTTAACCTCACTCTGTGCTCCATGCCGGCAAGGCCGCGCGTCGGCAAGTGGCTGCGCTGGGGGTGGTGGCACCGCTGCCGAGAGGATGAGGATCCGCAGCATCAGCCCGCGGCACAGCTTAACCCATAGCACAGCTCAGCCCGCGGCACTGCCTGTGGCACTGCCTGTGGCACCAGTCAGCCCAGTCCTGCCCCTGCAGCAACCGCAGCTGCTGCAGCGCTGCTCGTGGTTGTGCTGGCCGCGTAAGAGAGGACACCTTGGTCTGCTGCCCATCATTGTTGGGAAAGTAACACTCCTTGCGTTGTTTTGTTCTTCTAAGTCTGGAAAAATTAATTAGCACAGTGCCTGGTTTGACCACGGGGTCTTTAGCATTTTTGTTGCATGAAATGAACTCCTCCAAAGCATTCTTTTGTAGTTAACTATCCTGTAAACCCTTCTTGCCGTTTTCCTTATGGTTAGCAGATACAAGATGATTTATTTCAAAGAAGAACCATTTAGAATTAACCACTTTACTTACTAACAGATATTTCTGCATTGTCCTCCATATAGTGACAGAGGAGGAAAAAATCCTCCTGATGCAGCAGGACAAGAACTGGCCATTAGGGATTGTACTTTTGGTTTAGGTTTGCTCTTCTGTCGCTTATCTGTTTTACAGCCAAACTGTAAAAGCAGAATGCCAGAGTAGGTGATAGTTCTGCTCCCCTACGAGGAGCAACGAAGGATGAGGACAGCAGCGAATCTGAGGCATGGAGTACAGTGGGTGAGAGAAGAAAGCAGTAGGTGAGAGGTAGCTCAGGGTTCCTGTATGTCTTTAGTTTATCTGGAGATTACTTTCCTGTTGAAATTATTTCCTCTTATATTTTTTTTATAAATGGGAAATCCGCTCAGCCCTTCTGAGATCTTTAATGATGTCCCATCCACTTTCAAACCTCTTAAGAGTCTGGAATGACTGAGGATAATGTCAGCGCTGTGCATAATGAAGTGCTTTACATGTATTATACACTGCAAGGTCGTTGATGGCTGGGAAGAGCAGGTGAGACTCCAGCTTTATTGGCTCGCTCCCTGTTCCCTGTCGTGCACACATTGTCCTGGGCAGAGCCCGCAGGAGGTTCGGCCTCCTGCCCGTGGCTGCTCACCGTGAAGGGGCAGCTGGGGGCCGCGGTTCTGGGCGAGCGGTGGGAGAGCAGCCTGGCCACTCGGAGCCGCGTGCTCTGACCCGCTGGCGGGTCCGTGCTTGCACCGCCAGCCCTTCCTGGCTCTGGGCCTGTCGGAGCGCCACACAGGGGAGCCGGCCAGCCCCGTCCCTTAATTCACTTGTGAAAGGCTGCACTCGGACGCTGCTCCCCAGCCCTTCAGCAAGGGGTGGCACAATGCAGTGCGGGGCACAATGGGCATGGAAAGAGTGCGGGTGCTGCTGGCAGTGCAGTCAATAGCTGGAAAACGTTTTGACACTTCAAGCGCTGTCTGGTGAGCAGGCGCCCACGGTCGAGCAGGCCCTCGAAAGGCCGCGCTCAATCAGTCGGCACGGGCCGGCTTCATTCGGGTGCCAGGAGGGAAAGCGCAGCTACCACAGTAACAGCGAGAGGCCAGCAGCTCCTGCCCGCTGCGATTAAACACGTGCACCCCTCACCTATAGGTGACTTATGCTCTACTGCACGCAAAGTATTTTCTTTAATCTGAAAGTATTCATTTAATTTGAGTAACACTGTGACAATACCAAGTCTTCTGGGCTTTATGAAACTAAATGTATTTTATAGCCACCAGAATAGTGGGGGGTTTTGCTTTATGTAATAGATTATATTTTAATTAGTACTGAGAAAAGAAGATTACGCGCAGTTTCTGCAGTAGTGAAAATAGGCTAGAGGGATTCAGTAAAATATTAACCTGTAATTGAGCACTGCTGTCTTTCTGTGGATGAACCGCGTATTGCCCTTCAGGTTGCAGTCGGTGCAGGCAGAGGCAGGGGCTTTGCTCGCAGAGCCGCGCCTGGGCCGGGCACGTCGGTGCCTTGTGCCGCCCCGCGGGGCCGAGCGTGCCGGACCCAAGGCTCAGCGCCAGCGCGGCCTCCCTGCGCCCGGCGAGCCGCTCGGCTTCCCTCCTACCACACGTCAAATAACTCGGCCCTTTAAATGCCGTACTGGGAATTTCTTATGTGTATTGTCATATATGATATCAGCAAACGTTCACGGCTGATTAAGATGCCCATAAAAATTACCTTTATAATCACTATGTGCTTTCCGGAGAGAGGGAAAAAATTGTGGTAATTTAAAATGTTCATTGAGCTAGTATTCATATTGAAATTTCAAAACATGAGAAAAACCCCAGACAACTATTATAAATGTAAAATGTAAATACAAAAAGATATAATTAATTATCTTTGTTGCAGAGAAAAATGCACAATAAAAGCAGGGGTAAAATGTATCTCAGTGCTTAGTAAAATATGAATAATTTTAGATCAATGTGTCCTATTTGGTCATAACAGAGCTGTTGGAAGTACATTTTTTGGCACCTAAATAAGTGTTTATTTACTCAATAAATTTGGAGGGAATAATGATTGGATTATTCGTGGCTAGCTAGGGAGGTACTTGCCGTCTTGGATGAAGCAACTAGTGCTCAGGTTCCCTGACCGTGGCTGGTACTAACAATCATTGCCGGCGAAGAAACCGCCTCTGTTGCAGGGAGAGAGAAGGGCCCTTTGTGAGGGGCTGCTCCGTGCTGCGATTGTTGTAGGCTTTATGGTTTTATTTAGAGCGCTTTAAATCCTCTTTAATCTAACCATAGATTTCCTATTCTCTGCATTATAAAAATAATAGATAAATATCTGGGGGTTATTGTATTGCATTAAATATCTGTGTTTATTTTATTGCATTTTAGAATGTAATTTTATCTTTTGACCTTGGTTACAGAACTTAACAGTGGATTGTGCTGGTTTTGTTTGTCCTTTGTTCCAAAAATCATCAATGTCACTGTGTCTTCTCCTCTCTCTGTGCCATTTGGTTATACTATACACTTTCATATGCTCTTATTTTAGAGTTATCTTAACTCCATTCTTCTTAGTAAATTAATTCCTTCCTTCTTATCTCCATTTCTGCTGTTTCCCTGGTAGGAAGGACAACCAGAGAAGGGCTGTTGGTTTACATAACAGCATCAGCAGTTTTTTGGGTATTTTTTCATGTTCTCTCACAGCATGGTATTTATTGGCTTCTTTTGGCTGTACAGAAGTTTCCATTGGCATGTTTCCTTCCATGTTTGTTCAGTTTCTTTCCCACAGGGAAAATTAGACTTTTTTTCAGGTTTGGAAGCAGTCCTGTGTGAACAGCAGTAAGAGTGATGCTTCTGGGCACTTAGATTAGTGGTTGAAGTGGACATAGAGCTTATGGTGTATTAGCTCTAACTAATATTCCATTCCTTGCCTGTAACCACTTCCAGTTTTGTCATAACACCTTCCATTCAATCTTCTCCTTAATTATTATCAAGTCATTAATAGTTAATGTCATCTACAGATGTCAATACTCTGTATGAAGGTAGTTAAACTACTCATTCCAGTAGGAGTCCTGAGAATATTCTACAGATATCTTTTGTCACTTAAAGAATATAAAGTAAAGCTATTTTCTGATCTTACAGAAATATTTTTATCTTTGAGAAAAAAATATTTTCTTAATTTGACGTGACTAGTCAGTTATCTAAGCGACTCTTTGTCGTAGTCTTTGTCAGAAACCTTTGAAAATTTAATAAAAGATTATAGGCTTGCTGTTCTTTTTTCTCTTTTCAGACATTCACAAAATTTTGGTAGTTTACAGGCAGGTTGGTCTTTTTCTAAGCATATCTTAGTTTGCTTCTATCATGGAACATTATGGCAGATATTTCTGGGTTTAAGTAGTTTCAGTTAATAAAATTAATAACAAAAATTCGTAGCAAACCAAAATTGAAAAATGAAAATCTAGATATCCAATATATCCACTGTTGTCTGCTATATACTTAAAGGAAGCACTGGAACAATAATTGCATATTGTACTAGTAGCAACTCAATCAAGAAATTTAAAAATAAAATATTAACTTTTTTTGCATGCCTACATTGAAAATAAGTGAAATTTGCCAAGTTTCGTGTTATAACTAAGTTGTTAGTGTGTTTTAGTTTGTTTTTTGTTTCTGTGGACTGTTTGGATTTTTGTCAGAGCTTTTAAATGCCTTTGGAATTGAAGAGATGAGTGGTTTTTTATGCAGTTTGGTTGCAGATGTTCACTGCCGATAAATCCGAAGCGAGCAGTGTGTTGATGTTGACTTCAGGTGCGTATGGAAACGCTCGCTCTGTTGTGCAGCGGGAACAGGGCCTCTTGCGGGGCGTGTGAGGCGGGTGATAGCCCAAGGCGGCCAGCGCCCGGCGCGGGGAGCAGGGTCCGGCACGTGGCAAGGCTCCCGTGCTGGCTCCACAGCGGCGCCCTTCTCAGCACGCGGCGCCCTGCTCGGCACGCAGCGCGGATCAGAGACGGGTTCCGCGGGCGCAACCCCTGCCGCCTTTGGGAATGGGCTCCCGGGGGAGCGCGCGCCGCGGCGGTTGCTGTGCGGCCCAGCTACCGCCCTTAAGGAGCCACTGGGGTGCATCCAATCAGCATGATGTGCAGTCATCTTCAGCTCTTCTGATAGCTGCCTTGAAGTCAAGGTAAAATATTTGTGAAAAATTGTTCATTTCTATCAATAAAAAACATCAAAAATGTGAAACCCCAATATGCCAATGTTGGTTTTTGCCAGTTACTGTGATGTGGCAGTGCATGGAGATGAATATATGCCACTTCATTGCAAAATCCCCCTGTGTTAAGAATTTACAGCTGCACAAATCTTGAAGCCTTCATAGTGCATAAGATTATGAATGTCCTCTGGGTGGTGATATTTAAAATGAAAGATAAGGTCAGTTGAAACAATATATTCAAAAAGTTTTGACTGACAACTCTGCTGAAGCAACAAACATGGATCCCCATGAAGAAACCATTTGCTGACTAGCAGGGTATGTGTCTTTCGGTGGTGAAAGCATGTGAAGTACTTAAATTCTCAGAAATCTTGTGTATTTTGCTTTTTACAGCTTTCCACCATTTTCAAATAACTTTCAAATATATTGAAATATATTTAATAAAATAATTAGATGCTTCATTTTTTCCCACCGTTGCTCTTTTTTATGACAACAGTGGTGTATGCAAATGGTCAAAATAAATATAAATGGAAATTGCTAATTTTCTTTCATGGAATGTTGTTTAAGTTGTAAGACAATAGACTTAATTGCCTGTTACATGCCATGTTTTGTCTCCAAGGCCATGGGTAGCACCTAGGCTCACCCTGCAGTGCCGAAGCCGCAGGTCAAACTGTGAGAGTTGTTTCCAAAGAGGACAGTGCTTGAAAGCTTTCTGTTTATGTCCACACTGGTGACCAGTTCAATCACGCCACTGACACACCCATGTTTGAAATAAAGCTGTAGGAGCTGGCAAAAACGTGTAAAACGGGGCCAACGTGGCAGATGCGGAGAACGGGGAAGCGAGCGACCAAGGGCAAGGTTGTGCCCAGGTAAACAGGAGACCCTGCGTCTGCTCTGCTGCCTTTGCCTTCCTTGGCCGTGTCCGATCTTCGGCCTACGCTTCCCGTCCTGCTCTTTAGTAAGTAGCTACTAGCCAGGAACGATACCTACCTCTTCTTCACTCCAAAACCCCACACGGTGTAACGAACAGTTGTGAGAGAGGGGACTCGTTCCTGCGTGTCCGCCCTACCAATGGAATTCTTTCTCAAGGACAGAGACAGGCCAAAATCAAATGTTTTTAGGTGTGCTGTACAACATATATAGGCTCTCTAGCATACACCTGAATATCAGGAAGAGGTGGCAAGACTAGTTAAATTAATGACTGCAGAGCTGCTCACTGGTAGGGCGGTATTTGCTTTCTAAGGACAGAATGGAATAAAATGCATTACACATGCTTGTCAGAGCTGGAAAATTGGTAACGTCAAAAAGTAAGGTAACAAAAACTACATGATTAAGTCATTAGGTAGTAGACACTGCATTTTTTTTTCAGAAAATAATTTATTAAGAATTAAGTTAGATAAGTTTCTTAACTGGCTTTTTTAAGGAGCAGTTTTCTACTTCTGGCCTGTAGTCAGGACAACTTTTATTTTTCATTAATCATGTAGGTATAAAGAGTCTCACTTAGATATGTCTAGTAGATACATTTTTATGTGTGTGTGTGTATATAAAGTATATACAATATATATTAAAATGTGTACTATTTATATATATTAAAATGTGTACTATTTATATATATTATATGTATTTTAATCTTGTAGATGCAACAATACAGTATTTCTATATGCTTAGCACTTGTTTTTAGCTAGCACCAGTGAATGATGTCATCTCAATATATGAAACGGTTCCTTAAAAATCAAGGGAAGAAAGGGGAGGTTCAGCCTTATGATCTGACGTGTGGGTAGCAGTGTGACTCTCAAACCTGTAGGTGTCAAATAGATAACTTCATATTTCTTAATTTCAGCAGAGTATTAATGGCTATGCTTATAGTGATGATTAAGAATTTATTGTGTCTTGATGGGCTTATTCAGTAAAGAGCAAAGATCACACACAGGAAAGTGTACATGTACATTGGCTATCTTTCAAAACTCAGCTTTGGATAAATAAAATCTGTTCAGCTGTATGCAATCTCTATGGTCTACAGTACCAATTTTGGTAGAATTTTTCTCTTGAATTTTTGACAACCGAAGTGGTTTAAAGGTTGTAATAAGAAAAGTACAAGGTTCATCTTGCTAGCCCAAATGTACTTGTCACGTAGTTCTGGACCCCGCAATGTGCTAAGAAAGCAAGGGCTCTGAGGCGAAGGCGGCGCCGGGCGGCTGAGGGGCTGCACGGGGCCTGTGTCTGCTCGGCGTGGGCGCCCGCGCTGCGGCGGCGGCTCGTGGGCCGCTCCCGGACCTGGGCGCTGTCCGAGGCGACCTCGGTGCCACCCCGTGCCGGAGCAGCCCTTCATCGTGCGCCGGAGCGGCCCCGTGCCGGAGCGGCCCGTCGCCTGTGCGGTCCGCCGCGCCGCGCTGTGGCCCTCTTGCAGCGCTCTCCCTCACGGAGTGAGTGGTGCCGCATGCACAGGGCCGCTCCCAGGCGTGAAGCGCTGCCGCCTGTTCTTTACCCCGCGTGCCAGAGCCTGGTCTTATGCTCTTTGTACAATTTTCCATGCTTTGGTTTAAAAGGAACTCATACCGAGCTATTTAGTCACAAAAATGAACCTAAACCTTCTTTATTTTTCTCTCTTTCAGCAGCTCCACTGAGAAATCATTTCCCTGGAGATCATCAGGTATGTTCTGTGTGTGTCTTCTACCATCTTAGTGCCTTTGCTCCCCAAAGTTTCCTTTTTATTTTTTTTTTCTTGTCATATATTGCTTGTTTTGAACTAAGCTGATCATTGGTCGTGTTACTTAGTGGTCCTAAGTATCTTTTTCAAGTATCTTTTCCAAGCTATAGCATTATTGTGCTATTTCTCAGATACAGAGATGCGTGTATTCGCTCTTGAAGAAGTACATTTTGCCTTAAGTACAGGTGATCACAGGTGCTTTACTGCCTGGACTGCACCTTATTGTGCCCTTGAATTTTTATGAGAGATGAGATGGTAGCAGGAGTCTTCCTGTATATTAGGTCACCTTTACAACTCATTCAAAAATAACATTTCAGTCTTTCCCTTGGCTGGTAAAGGTCAGGAAAAAAGTACTGTATGTTTTAATCCTGCAGACTATTCTTCTTTTTACAGATACTCTTAGTTAAACTGAAATAACCTTCATTTTTTGAGAATTTTCCCCAAAGTATTTTTTCCATTTTTGTATCTCAGCATAACTTGAACTTTCTTTCCAAAACGAAAGATTAGTCTGCAGTACATTCACATCTTTCTTCTCTTGAATATATTAGGTGGAAGTGGATAGGATTGCTTATTAACAGCAATATAGGCCAAAAGGGACCGTTAAAATAATCTAATCTGACCTTCAAATTTCCCAGATCAGAGCATTTAGCTAATGAGGGTTTTGCATCAATTACGACATTCAGTGCTTGAAGAGTCAATCTTCGAACAGCTGGTGGTCTGTTTAGCGTGATGAAGTGGATGTGCAGAAATCAACATCTCCAGAACACACAGCAGGACCCGAAATGGGACCTTGATTCCCTGCTTGCTGATTTTGCATTTTATTGTGTTACTCAAATTCAATTGTGCGCTCTTGAAAGAATATCAGGTTAAGCCAAACTGCTCTGATGCAATAAAAATGCAAATATAATTTTAGGTTTCTTGTTAAGAGTTTATTAACTTAGTTCTGTTTTGTGATGAAAGCATTTAATTATGTGGAGAGCCCATGCAGTGTTCACAGCTATTCCGCCTCTGCAGCCCGTCTTAGTCATGTGTTTATTCACTAGAGCATGTTTGGAATTACGGCAATTCCAGACCCTTTGGATTCCACCTGCAAGTTGCTGTTATGTTCCACCTTAATTTATGATAGCTCAATTAATTTTGGATAGGTGTATTGTTCTTTCTTAAAACTTATGGCCCATCTCAAACCAGAAAATATTTTCACTATAGGTATAAAAAAAGGGAGAGAATTTCCTATTTAATTAGCATGAAGTTTTTTCAGTAGTAGTTCACTATGCTTCCGTGATTGCGTATTCATTTACTGCATTTCTTACAATAGAAAATTTCTTTTGAAACAACAGTCTTCTGGTACTAGAATTACTACTGAAGAACTTACAATACCAGAAGCAAGGGATCATTGCCTAGACCAAAGCTAAACCTGAATAAAGGTCTGCTTTTCCCAGACCCAGGGCTGAGGGTTAAGGCCAAAATACTCCTATAAGCAGCTGTCTTCCTTAAAAATCACTTCAAAGAAGATATCTTTTGTTCATACTGTTCCATATAGTGAAAACAAGGCAATCTTAGATGACATCTAGGTCTTTTTTTAAAAGACAGGGTTTCTTGTGTAAACTGGCAAAAAAAAAAAAAAAAAAAAAAAAAAAAAAAAGAATGGATTCAGCAGTCCCAGGCTGTAGAAGAATTTCTTGGAAAGGGCCCTGGAGGTGCCAGGCTCCAGCAGCCCTTTGCTCCCTGGAAGAGAGGCAGCTTCCAACCTGGACCCAGCTTCCAAGTAGGATAGGATTGTTCAGGACTGCCATGGGAGGGGAGATGTTCTGATAAATGAGGGGCTGCTCTGTTTTCTTCTGCTGCTGTTCACTTACAGCTCCAGAGGACTTGCTGAGTGCTGAGAAACTTATCTACTCCTTTCCCTGGAATATTTCTCAGACTGCCTACCCTCCTTTTTCCTTCCTGTTTTCTTTCATTTAGGTTAAATTCTTAAATGTAGTATATGATAACTGGAGATAGCACTGGGTTCAGTGCTATCATGGTTTCACCTCAGCTGAGTCATTAGTCCTTTTTCTTTTTTTAAATCCAAGTTTTTCAACAACCTGATTGCCTTTGTGTTTAAATTTTGCTAATCATTCTGCTGCTGTTTCTGTTTTTTTTTTTTTAATTACTCTATTTAAATAAAAGTCAAGCTTGTTTTTTTCAAGTAATTCAGAAATCAGTTTGGTTCATTCTTTCATTTTGAAAGCTCTTTTTCTTCTCAAAGTATTTTGCTTGGTTCTGTAATGTACCAGGGACTGTCCACAGCGGGAAGAGAGATCTTTTGACAGATCTCAATCCTTATTTTAGTGATTTCATCTCATCCAGTTTAATTCCGTCTTGTCCTGCATCTTTATTCTATTTCCTCCTTAGTTTTTTTGCTGCAGCAAAAAGCTTTGTCAGTTGTTTCCTTTTTTCCTCCTTGACTTTCCTTGAGCTCCTTTTTCTTCCTTTCATCTATCCATTGCTTCTCATCTTTTACTTCAGGTCTCTCCTGCCACTTTTTTTTCTTTTTCCTTAGAAGTCTTCTGTACCCATCACCCTAGGAGGAGAAACTTAAGTTTCTGCAAAATGGTAGGACTTGAGAAAGTGAGAAAGGAACAAAGCCAGGAAGCCTAGGAATGCAGTTCTTTTTTTGGAAGAACAGGTTGCAAAAATATTGGTTTTCTTTAAAAAAAAAATAGTATTTCTATTTAAATAGTGTTTGCATCACTATAAATCCAGAAATCCTCACATCTCTGTATGTGTCCAAAGTAAGGCTCACCTAGAGTAATTGCTCAAAAGCGGGTATGTTTGAAAAGATTTTGATTAGAGTTTACATTGATAGACATTTAATCTTTAAATTTGGATAGTGATTTTAATGGGTTGGTAGGTTTTTTTTCTGCTTATTTACTTTTCAGGTTGATTTAAAGAATGTCAGTGGATGATGGTTTACCATCTATTAGCTGAAATATGTTGAGGTTAAAGATAAATGAAAACACTCCCTAAAATCATCTTTTTTTTTCCTGTGTGCAAATAGTGGTTTGTATGAAAAAAACATCAGCGGATGGTGTGATAAGATGCAAGTGCTTAATGCATTAATTGAACTATACAGAATTTACTACTGAAATATAACATGATGTTATTTTGCAGATGCTCATAAATAGAATATTAGATCAGCAGCGATTTATAAAAGACTATTATTTTATTCAGGACATTCTTCTCACGATTAATAGTAGCACAGAGAGATAGGGAAACAAAAAGTCGTTTTGTTGAGCACTCTTGCCTTTGTTAGTGAGTCTAAACAATCTTATTTTTTTAGCAGAGTGAAAGCATTTGCTTGGTGGCAAATGCGTGACCGACCCAAGGTTTTGCTTAGGAACATTTGTGTGGCACTCTACAAATGACTTTGATTCTCCCTGTGTGTTTCTCCTGAAATTGTCTGTCACTTTGAATTTGAGCTAGTGTTATATAATTCCTAATACACAAACTAACAAGATACTGCATTATTTTAACCAAAAAATCTGATAATTAAAATATAATTGTTGAAGTTGACCAGAGAGTAGTTTAAATGTCCAATCCTCAAAACTCTTTTATTGAAAAAAAATGTTTCAATACCCACTGACGTCTCATGTGCTGTGCAGGTTGGTGTTATAAGATCCGGGAAGGTCAGCTATTTTAGTGTGGGTCTATGAATCATTTCTAGGGGCTCTCTGGATGAAATTAATGATGAAATTAATTCATTTCTTATCAAGCCCTATTTTAATTTGGTGTTAATAACTTTTATTATACTTAATTAATTACCATCAAATTACTGCATGGTTTTGACCTATGAAAGTACTATCGTCAAATAATTTTGCTAACTCTCTATAAGAGATTGTGATTTTTATTTTGTTTAATCTGGTATTTGAATGGTATTCAATCAGTTCTTGTAATGGCACTTACTGAGTAACGTTTTAGGTACAGATGTTGCATTATATTGCAATTATTTGACATTATGGTACAGTCACTGAGACACCAGTGTTATGTGTACAGCTTTGCGTTATTAAAGGTGAGGGTAGTTCTTTTGGCTTGATTAGTCCAAATCCTCAGGACTTCCGAGTTGTCTCTTGCAGGATAGCAGCCCCGTGCCACGTGCTGTAGGTGACCCTGCGTGTGCAGGGGGCTGGACTAGGTGAAGTCTGGAGGTGCCTTCCAACCTTGGGCATTCTGTGATTCCATGATACTGCATGGGGGCTGTGGCGAGGCCCCTGCGGCAGCTGCTCTGCTTTCCTGGTGCGTTGGGCTCGGTCCGTGTCCGCATGAGCAGGGCTTCACGAGCTGTTGCTCCTTGCACAGCACGTGTGTCCCGTGTCCCCCGGCCTGTGCCGCCGCTGGCACAGAGCCCACGCTCCGCCACCCAATAGGTTTTATTAATATTTTGCATTTTATAATTGTTTCTATTGATGATACACAAGTGTGGATAAAATTCAACCTGACGTTTTAATTATGAAGCTCTATAGAAATAACAGTAGCATTACTATTATCCATTAAAAAAGCTTTTTCTGAGTACTCCAGTAGATCTACTTTTCAGAGCAGAAGCACCATGCACGTTTTCTTTGTAATCAGCTACATTTTTCATCCCAATAGCTTGGAAAGCACATTTAAAACCTGAGAACTGCAGAGCTTCTTGAGAAGCGCAGACAGTGAGATCCTCCCTCATTAAGCCCAGAGCAAGTTCCATTTGGTTAGTGTGGTGGCTGGTACCAGTCAACCAGCAATCTCTGTTTATAGAGGTATCATGTTGTGGAAGCTCTTCATTAGAGCACATGTGACAAAATAATTATTATTGAATTTACAGGAGGCTTGCCTGAGTACGTTGGGTTTACCCGGTTGATTTATTCTTTCAGATGCTCCAGGCAGCAGTGCAAACAAACCCCGCGTGTCAGAGAGCACTCATACCAATGCCTACCACGTCCGGACAGAGCCGGAGCAGGGGAGCCTTTACTCTCCAGAACAGACGTCTCTCCATGAAAGTGAGGGTCTGTTGTGTGCTCTTTAAATACTAGAATGTTTATATATTGTTTCTCTAACAATGCAGTGCAACTACGAATGCAGTAAATGCATATATGAAACTTTGTTTGCATAAAGGTATGTAATGCATTTATTCCTATGTTGGCTTCATACCTACAGGGTCTGTAGGTAACTCAAGAAGTTCAACACAAATGAATTCTTATTCTGACAGCGGGTACCAGGAAGTAAGCAGTTTCCATAACAGCCAAAACCTGAGCAAATCAGAAAATAGACAGCAATATTCCCTCATTGGAACAGCTAACAACCACTTGGTGAGAAGTTCGCAAGCTGAAGGACAGGCTTTAGTTCAGGTATGCTCAAAACAGTACTCTTGTATCTACTCTGTAACAAAGTTTTAAAGACAATAGATACGTAGTTGGAGCTGCACTTCCTGTAGGCTGGAATTAATACCATTCAGTTATATTGTTTGAATTAACATCTTCAGTGCTTAAAAAGTGTAAATGTCTGGCAAATAGACTTGTTCTCTAATTCATATGATCTGATTCCTTTACTGCATGTGAAATTAAGTACAACTTCTGGGGACTCTTGACTACAGAGTATGCTGCTAACATACTGCAAGGTAGCATCACCCCATGAAAATTGCTTCTGTGTGATATTGGATAAAATATCTTACATTTTAGTCGATATGAAAACATGTGCGTAAAGAAGGGAGGTGTTTGTGCTCCTGTATCTTCTAATACTTGTGTTTTTCCCTTTTTTCATTAAACAGATTGATATTAAGATAGTAATCAAAAAGCACTATTAGCTATAACAGAGCTCTCTGCAGCACTGTTCCTGAATTTCCAGTGGGCTAGTTTATTTTAAAGAAAGCATAACTACATTAACCTGCAAAACCAAATTAAGAGTGACGAATGAAGGGTCTTTTAATGCTAAATTGCTGATTTGCATATTAGGAAGTTCTGATTAGAAAAAAAAAAAGATGATTTGGAATGTGAAGAATAGGAAAACTTAAAGAATGAATGATGTTTAGGGTAAATTTACTCTTCAGCTCCTTTCATATATTGTTAAGCTTTACACATGTCCCGTTGACATTTTTTCTCTGACACTTGTGATGGAGGAGCGATATCTGGCCTATCAGGTAAATCTGAGTTTTGTTTTTGCTTGCACGCAGCCGTCAGCGAGCGTCGCTCCCAACCGCACCATGAGACGCGTGAGCTCGGTGCCCTCGCGGGCGCAGTCTCCCTCCTACGCGGTGGGCACGGGCGTCTCGCCGTCACGCGGCTCACTGCGCGCCTCCCTGGGCAGTGCCTACGGCTCTCCGCCACTCGCTGAGCCCAGGGCCCTTCCTGCGAGCACCTACTCGTCCACGACGCTGCCGGCGCCGCGCGCCGCCTCCCCGTACGCCGCACAGAGAGCTGCCTCCCCGCCGGCCACGCGGCGCCTCGCCCGCCAGGCGTCGAACCCCAACGGTGCCGCCGCCCACTACCTGGCCTCGGCCCGCGTTGGCTCCCCTCTGGCCCTCGCCGATATGCAAGCCCGAGTAGCCTCTCCCTCTCAAACCCAGCTGGAATCTTCTTCCCCAAAACGCTCCGGCATGACGGCGGTCCCACAGCACTTGGGAACAACGTTGCAAAGGACAATTCATGATATGGAACCGTATGGACAGCAGTACGAGATATACGAGAGGATGGTCCCGCCGCGTCCAGACAGCCTTACAGGTTAGTAAAAAGGTAAAGACACAGCTTAAAGCTTAGTCCAACTGACCCAGGGCAGAAAGCCAATAATGCAGTCGTAGTTGTGTGTTGGAAGCTCTGTGGCATTAGGACACAGCTCTGGTGGATTCTGCAAATCATTTGTAAATGCTGCTGTCAAGCTGTGTGTGTCAATGACACTGCACGCTCACAGGGAACACCAGTAGCCATCAGGAAGTCCTCTGCTGAGATATTTAAGTTAAATGAGGCCAAAAGAAGTCAAAACTTAAGAGAGACAGATGAAGTAAAAGTATTTGCAGTTGTAGGTAATTAAAGATGCTACACTGAAGCACCAAAGGAAAAGGCATGCCAGGTTTCATAGCGTGATTTCACAAAAGTTTTTAAAAAGTTAGTGTGGCTAGACTCTACTCTGAGGGAGGATATAGAAAGTAAAAACTGACCATTCAGAAAGGTAGTGTGCAAATGAGAAGGAAGGAAAAGGATATAAAATTTCAAGTTCAGTGAAGAGTGACAGAATGGGTTTAAGATGCAATTTGGAAAAGCAAACGTATGTCTGTTCCCAGTGCAGATGTTCAGTCTAGTAGCCTTCTTTAGTGGGGCGGCATCAAAGGATATGTCCTCAATTGCTGCCAAATGCATCAGCAAAACAATCAGTAGCAATAATAAGAACCAGAAGCTGTTCATCCACAGGTGCAAGAGCTGAGCTATTAACTTTATGTTCAGTATCTTACCTGCAACCTTTTGGTACTAGTGCATTTCTCAGTTGACAAAAGCTTGTGTTTTGAGGAGAGTTCCAGATCCATCTGGGAAACTCTAGACCAGTTAGCTCAACATTTGTAACTGACAGATTTGTAGAAACTGAAGGAGAGCAGAATCATTGAAGGCAGAGATAAATACAATACTTAGGGAACGTTCGGTCAGCATGTTCTTAGGTAAACATAAGTCATCCCGCACAAATCTGTTGCAGTCCTTTAAAGGAAGATTGATACGATCTACTTAGAGTTCAGGAGAGTATTTCATTAAGACCCATCACAAAAACTTCTTTGAAGAAGTTGAGCTGCCGTGGATAAGATGCTAGTTGGAAGATAGGCAATATAGGGAAAAATGAATGGAAAGTTTTTTTTTAAAGTGAGGGCATGTCACCAGCTGAGTCTGCAGGGCCATGTTGGCACCTGTGCTGATCAGTGTATTCATAAATGAGAGTAATGAACAGCGAGAAGACGGTATTTATTGACAACAAGAAATAATTTGATTTTATATGTGTGTATTTTATATAAATTTATGCCAGTCTGTATGTTGCTTTTAATGTGATATTGCGAAGTATGTGAGGTAGAGGAAAACTGCCATCCAATTCCAAAAGAGAAAAGGCAAAAAGAGAATTTTATGCCGTTGCACCAGAACAAAATATACTATGGGCTATTTAAACATTTATAATGGCCTTTCTTCACCTCCTTAAACCCCTGCTGCCGTGGTTAGACTACGTCCTGATCGCCCTGCTAGAATGGAGTGGGTGCTGCAACTGATCCGTCAGCAAACGCCCCACCACCACTTGGGCTCACCGCGATCCCAGGGAATGTTAGGCTGCACTCAGCAAGGTGTGGGTCCCGGTGTGGCCTCAGCTGGAAAAGAGGGAGAAGACGTAATAGGCAATGGGGCGGCTTTTGCTGTTCAGGGCGACTTCAGTAATCTACAAGGATTTAGTTAATGCATTTGAATTTCAACAGCCAGTAAAGTTAGTGGATGACTGAACTTCAGAACTTCAGTGTTGATGAAGGTATTGAAGTAGCTGTGATTCCAAAGGTGCTACATCTTTTGTAAAACGCATTTATGTTAACTTCATGTTCAGTTTTCTTCAAACTGTCTTGTTACCTGTGGTTTTAATAGGCCATTCAACCACATCCTTACTGGTACTAAGGAATGAGTTGCCCTGGATTGGATCCTGCTCTCAGTAGAAGCTCTAAATTTAATTCATCACTTGCAGAACCTTGTTAATCACCCTACCAGTTGATATCTTCTGTATAAAATGTCTGTGTTTCTCCTCAAAATGAACTGAATGTTCTGTATCAGGCTCTTGCTTCCTTCTGCTGAGGAACCCTCAAACTGGGAAAGGAAGAGCTTCAACTTTTTGGTGTTACCAACACAGGACAATTTTAAGGACTATTGTAGCTTGTAACTAGAGTATTTTCTCTTGCATGAAGTAGGAAACTGGAACAAGTTGCCCATCTCTTTTGGCTTACTTACAGTTTAGACTGTATTTTGTCAAGATTGCATTAGTGTTTAGAATTATCAGATCACATATCAGATTTCAGTAATAATTGTATTAATCAGCTTTCAAAAATTATGTTTAGTCCTGGTGACTTCTTGCAATATTGTTATATAAAATTGTTTATAATATGTTTAGATTTAAAAAAAAAAACAGTAATATACAAACACAAACTTGTAAAATGTACATTTATTTTCTGATTTATATTCAAGCTTTCAAAATTTGATGAGACAGGAAATCTTTAAGAAATTTATTCTTTCAAACTGAAGGAATTTAGTAGTTTAACAAGGTGGAAGGAAATTGGCCCTGGGCTGTAATGACTGTGTTTAGATGTAAAGGGATTTGCTCTTTAAGAAGAACTTAGCTGCTGTGCGTTGCTTCATTTGGCTGCTGATGTCTGCGTATATGGTAGACAGGTTCCTTCAAATTGCAGTTGGCTTCAGTAATAATTCTCCATCCAGAAAATGTGAGCCCATCTTGCAGCATCCCTGTATGTAGGTAAGTATTAACAGTCCTTTCTATCACTGTAGAGAATTTGAGAAACAGAGGAGCAGAGGCACTGGTGGAACTGAGAGACCTCCTCACCTCTCTCAATTAGACCCTGTAAGTTTATATTTGCATTAAGAATGCAAAGACATCCCTGCCTTATGCTGCTCATTAATCACAGAAAACCAGCTCCAAGCCTCATCGGAGAGGTCCAGCCTTCAATTTCTGCTGTGTGGGTGCTGCTTGATGTTTGGCAAGGCCGGACAGCTGCTGTTAGTCCTCCAGGGCAGCCCACATGGTGGGTTCAGTCGCCTGGTTGGAGCAAACTGCCCGTCATGCTGCAGCTCAAACGTGCACGGTGCAGCCCGCCTGCTCTGTGCCCATCGGCCGCCTGCCCGGTGCCAGAGACGTTGCTGCTTTGGTTGTGGGTGACACTCGCAGGCCGTGCCGGATGTTCCCAGGCGTGCCTACGCACGCCCACCACGGTGCAGCGTCGTGGGACGTCTGTGTTCCCAGCAGCCGGGCTGGCCTGGGGCCTGGAGCCCTGGCTGGCCACGAGGGGCAGGTCTTGTGGGCCGTAGAGTTGGGTCCATCCCCCCAGACCTTGCCCAGACACCCCGGGTCCTGGAGGGCCGATGATCCGGTCCAGCCCCTGCTTGGACCAAGGCTGGCACCAGTGCTGGTACAGCTGAGCACTGACCACCTCCAAGGCTGGAGCCCTCCTGATGGTCGGGCCGTCTGTGACCTTCCTCACGAAGAGACGTTCTGGGCAGTTAACCTCAACTTTGCTCATTGCTGTTTGTGGCTGCTGGCCTGTTGCCCACCTGCCGCTACCAAGAACTCTTGGCTCTTCCGCTCTGTGCCAAGGTTGCTGGCAGCGCCTCAGGTTGTGCCCGTCCCTCAGCTGGGTTTCAGCCGGGTTCAGGTGGTAGCGCGTCGGTGCTGCTGGGCGAGCTGCGCGTGCAGCCTCGCCTTGCCGTTGCTGGCCTGCTGCAGGCTGCTGCTGATACACAGAAACTCGGAATAGGGCTGAGCTGGAAAACTAAAAAACTGCCAGGTTGTAGATAGCGCATAGCCAAAGAAATGTAGTTTAGTCAGTTAATCATCTAATAATGCAAGAAGTTCAAGAAAGAAATGTTTGACCATAGTTTAATACTATTGTCTGTTAATATATTTGTCTGTATTTAATTTCTTCTGAAAGTTTTGTGATACAGCTAACACTTTCTCATGGCTAAAACAAGACAGATTTGCATATGATTGCTTTCCCATTTCAAAGGGGTATTGGCCGGGTTCGTATTCACCTCCTCCTGCTTTCAGGCCTGCGCAGCTCGTACGCCAGTCAACACAGCCAGCTGGGACAAGAGCTGCGGTCCGCCGTGTCTCCCGACTTGCACATCACGCCTATCTACGAGGGCAGGACGTACTACAGCCCGGTGTACCGCAGTCCCAATCACGGCACCGTCGAGCTGCACCAGGGCTCCCAGGCGGCCCTGTACCGAACGGGCTCAGGTGGGTGACGCGCTGCCCTCGGAGCCGTGCCGAGGGGTCCGTGGCTCCTCCGGAGCACCCAGCACAACGCGGGGTATGGAGAGCTGGCTTCAGGGCAGAAAGCAGAGGGTGCACACCAAGGGAAATGCAAGACAGGTTGGAAGCAACTAGAAAGCTGTTGTGGTGCTTGCAGAGAGTGCTCGGTGCTGCAGATCGGTGACAACCGAGCACCAGAATGTTTTCCTTTTGACACGGTGCACTCATGTGGCCTGAGGAAAGACCTTCTTGTGACACATACACTATTACACACTCTTGCATGATTTGTGCATCATTCTGTCACTGAGTTTGTTCATTTCTTGTCTGTGCAGTAAAACGATAGTTTGCACACTTACATCTTTGGCAGTGTAATTTGTGCTTTTTAGTGTAGTGAAGACTATTTTTGTAGTGAAACTGCAGTATTTCTGTACTTAATATGTCTGATATGAATTTTACCAACAAATTATGAACTGTTTAAACAAAAAGTTAACATTAGAAGTGAATTTCTGTAAAGAAAAATGTAAAATATACTTTGCAATGCAGTCTTTTTTTAAGGCAGATCGCTAAAGTTGTGTAGTGGAGTAATTTCTAAAAATTGTCTAAATATTAGAGTGATTTAACTAACCAACTCCCCAGAAATATTTACAGGGATGTATCCAATTCTTAAATCTTCTGAATCTTTTTTTACCTAATTGCAGTACTGAGAGTGCTAGGTATTGAAGGAGACAAGGGATTTTGCAATTATCCTCTACTGTCTGCTACAGCTTAAAGCAGACAAATTATGTTTGTCAGGATGTGATAATGAGGAAAGTTAACTAGAAATGTAAATTCTCTGTTTTCTCATTTACTTAACATCAGTTACCTTAGAAAGACAAACTACCACATCAGCTCTATCAAGACAGAGGAGTTGCATTTGAATTTCTGGAGTCCCAAATTTAATACTTTGAAAGCATTTTTAGTCCTGGTTCTTCCTATTCTTAGCTTTGTTCAGAAAAAAAAAGTGCAAATAGTTGGTAAAAGGAAAGTATAGTATCAGTTATAGTATTTTTAATAGTATAATAATAATATAGTATTATTAAATTATTTTTCCCCCTTCAGTACTGCAAATTGAAATTGCTGTTGATGACTGAATTTTGTTAAACGCTTTGGAGCCTGGTTTCTAAAACACAATTTAGAGTATGATTTCTGTTTAAAGACACAAGATGCATTTTGTGCTTCAGATGCTCAAGCAAACCAGGGTTTCAGTCCGTTTCCACCAAAATCTTCTGCCGCTGGTGGTGTTTTCCGGAGACGTTTCCTGCGGGTGTTTCAGAGGAAGGAGTAGCCGCTCCCTTGTGCCCCTTTGGCCGTGCCGCTCCCCACTTGCCAGAGTTCTTTTGGTAGCTCTCTTTGACTAAGTATTACTTTGTCTCTTCGATAGACATTCAGTACCTTTTTTTTTAATGCTGATTTTATGGCAGGAGTTGGGAACCTGCAGAGATCGTCCAGTCAGCGCAGCACGCTCACCTACCAAAGAAATAACTACGCGCTGAGCACAGCGGCCACCTACGCAGAGCCCTACAGGTCGGTGCCTTTCCGGCTCTCGGAGCCCATGTACAGCCGGCTGCAGCACGCAGCGCCCGCCGACGATGGCACCACGCGCTCCCCCTCCATAGACAGCATCCAGAAGGACCCCAGGCAAGTCTGCAGCCATATGAGTGTGCACAACAGGGACCCTGAATAAATGGGGGGGCCTCTGGGGGTGTGCGGTTCAGCTCTGCAGGGTTTAAGCATGACTAATTTGGATTTAAAGGTCCTGTTGAATGGCTAAAGTAATACATTTCTGCTTTGCTGTGGTAAGGATGAACAGCTTGTATGTTTTAAGAGCTGTTATGCTTTTCTTCCATATTTATTTTAATTTGGAAGTTATTACAAGGAGTATTGGTAAATTTGATGTCAACAGCACGCATTATAGTCAGTCTTTCTGAGTAATTCTTCAGAGGCATTTGTAATCCTGTATGTAGTAAGCTTCTTTTCGTGGGAGTGAGAAAATGTCCTGTTTTCAAAATTAGAAAGTGTGTGCTTAATTTATTTGAATGAATTTTTCATGAACAGTGTAAGTCTTAAAACATATAAATGCACCAAAGGCAAAGCAAAAGCTAATGCACACTTATTTTGAAACATTTCCTTTAGTTTGACAGTCTAAGTCCACGTCTACCACATGAACATGTGACAAATGTAATATTGTCATTACAATTAAGGGACAGTCTTTTCACTAAGACTTACACCTGTTTTACAAAAACACAAATGTATATGTATAATAGACATGATTTAGTTACTTTTGAGGTTTGCCCTATCTTTCAGTCTTGAAAATAATAGCAGTGATTTTCTTTAGATATATTCTTTTTCTTATTAATGAATATTAATATATTTCTTATTTTAATAGATACAGAGAGACGGGATTAATCCCATTTAATTCCTCTGTTGGTTCATCTCAGTGAGATTGATAGTCCTGCCTCTGCTACTTGCCCTTTGCATGTTGCTGCCAATTTGTTCTGGCTCACAAAAAACTGCATGAAGGTTGCTCACTGATTGCAGGGTGCACAGAACTGTTAAGAAATCCCGACTTGCTGTCTGTCGGCGGTGACTTCCTGATGTTGTGGTTTCATGAGGAAGCAGTTTTCTTTGGTCCTTTCCAGTTTCTGGTTCTCCTGTCTCGCCGTGTTCCGAGCCCAGGACAGCATCACTCTGTCGCAAGGCTGCAGAGCATTCCGAGAATCTTTATTGCTGGAGAGGCCGTTGTGCCCAGGATCTTGCTGCTCTCAGCAGGGAGACATAAGCCCCTACATGGCTCTGGTGCAGAGCAGGCTCCTCAGTAACGTCCCCTTTCCAGTGGCCTTGAGGGGAGCCTTGGGGACCCAGCTGGCCTGGCCATTGCTGCCCTTCGAACACCCCCAGACCCCATTGCTCTTGAAACTCCAGGCAAGTTCAGAGCAGCTGTTCCAAGAACAGGAAATCTAATACACTATGATTTTTTTCTACTTCCCTTCCGAGAAGAAGCTGGTCCAACAAATATTAGTGGATACATTTCTAACCCAGTTGGGTATGAATGCGACCCTGATGTGCTTAATGCCTTTTCCAAATTTGTCTGCATAAATAAAATGGCTTGTTAAGTAAAGCACATCTGATGAAACTGGAATTATGTTTGCAATCCCTGAGTAACTCAGATTATGCAAACTATGTGGATCTGTTCCTAATGAAGACATCCATAGCTTTCTTTCAAGTATAATTGACTGCAGATGAGGAAGAGCATTGAGTATGGAGGGCAATATACTTTACGCGTGATGCACCTGAGCAGTGTTGTTAAATGTATAGAGCTTAGGAAAAAACACATTTGGTACTCTGTGTTGAAGTGCTGGGGGATGTTTATGGGCTGCAGGGTTTCAGTTGGTGTAATTTTAGTGTGTACATTTGCTTGTATGGCCAACATAACCAACTGAGGCATGTAGGATATAAAGCACTCTTTCCCAATGAGAAGAATAAGATGGGAGTGACTCATTACTGCTCTGACATACCTGTTTTTCCTCCTAGCCCTGGTCCTCCAGAACAAAAGCAAAATTGATGAAAAGCACTTAAGGCGCTGTTGTAATTCTGCCTGGTAAATGAATGCATGTTTCTAGCTAATGCCTGTGCTTGCCTTCCCGCTGAAGGGAGTTTGCGTGGCGAGACCCAGAGCTGCCCGAGGTCATTCACATGCTGCAGCACCAGTTCCCCTCGGTGCAGGCCAACGCTGCCGCCTACCTGCAGCACCTCTGCTTCGGGGACAACAAGGTGAAGACGGAGGTAGGCACCGCTGCTGCCCCACCGGGGCAGCTGCCCGCCCGGCTCAGGGAACAGCCGCACCTTTGGCCTGGGTTTTCATCTTTTCGTTGTAGCACAGTCTCCTGGACCCTTTCATGTGTCTGGTTGTACTGGATACACGTTAATGTTGTCATATGTAGGTGTGTGTAAATATATGCACATATATATAATATACATCTTCATATGTGCATGAAGATCTTCTCACAGACCCTCGTAAGGCTCTGTGTAGCAGATGCAGGTTATGTGAAGCTCTTTGACATTTGGGTGGTGCAGTCTAGCAGAACTGTGGAAGTGTGGGTGAACTGAAGTCTCTGTGTGCAGTGTGGTGGTGGCTGCAGTCTAAGAGAAGCAATCATTCTTGGAGAAGTGACAGTTCTTGAAGGTTTCCTCTATTTTTGACGAAGATATTTTAACGCCTTATAGGGAGTAAGTGAATTGTCAAGTAAAAAAAAGAAATCACAATCCTGGAAATACACAGAGGACAGTATTAATTTCAGTTCATTATAGGGGAGAGGTGCATCTGAGTGAAAACGCAGCTTCTTGTTAAAATATCATCTAGCACTTGTCTAAATTTGAAGAGCTGCTTCTTCCACAGAGCAGCTGTAAGCTATTGATAGGAAGAAGTTTGCTTTCCCACTCATATCCCATGCGTGTTTTAGCTATTATTTTCATGGTGAACACAAATATAATTTATATTAATGAAATACTGATAGCAGTGCTGTAAGAATGTTGCTCACCCAGCCAAACAACCCCCACTTGCTGAAGGGAGACCTTGCGCTTCCCCTTTGATCCCTTCAGCCGCTTCCCTGGCTCCGTGGCCGGGCGCTTGTCCCCAAACCGGCCCATGCGGAGCCTGCAGCTGCCAGCGGTGCTGCGGCTGCTCAGCCGGCTGCCCACCCGGCTGCCCCGCTGCGCACAGGAGAGCCGCGATCCACGAGCAGCGGGGAGCTGACTGGGACGCAGCGCAGCCGCTCCGACCACCTTTGGGGATTGGGGCTGCCCAGCTCTTTGATCCTCTGGCCATATTGTGATGGCGCCTTTAGGAATTCCTGGGATATTATTTATCTGCATGTGCTCTGAAATATTGTGCTTTTGGCAGTAGTTCTTCCAGGTTTCCTTATTGTAGGATTTTTGTAAATTATGAAATTATTTAAATATATATATTATATATATATATAAAATATATAATATTATATTTGAATATATGTATATAATATTATATATATATCAGTTCAGGCAGAAGGTATTCTAGATATAATACATCAGATATTAAGCTCTTAAAACTTATCTAGCAAAAATAATGGCATGGGATTTAGAAGATTAGATACATCACATTAACCTGAGAGGAAGATGCACATGTAGCTACCTTCCTGCTTAGGATTCCGTGGAATTTTGAAAAGAAAAGATTCACATAGTGATACCATTATTTTTCTTGTCTGGAATTAATCAGATTTTAGAATTTTTGGTAATGTTAGGACAGAAAGAAGGCAGTTGTCCTGTTTGCTGGGAGAGGATGTTTCAGTACTGTTGGAAAAGCAAAGCAAAGATCCCCCTGTTCCCTGGTGAGCCAACATCCAGCCCTTAATGAAGAAGCTGCCCTTGAGTTACAGTGGTGGATGGGCAATAGCGTGTCTGGAGACGGGTGCCCTGTGGAGACGGGTGCTCTCTGGAGCCGAGCGCCCTTGGTGTCGAGAGGGAGGCCGCAGTTCCTGACCAGTGACCTCCCTTTAGTCAGACCCACTGCTTGGGATAGGGAGGGATCATAATGGCTCTATTGCCAAGATCATTAAAGCTCTATTTGAATACTCCTTTAATGTTGTATTTTTATTCATTTTTTAGATATATTACCTTATTGCTGTGGTAAAGAGCAGATTAATTTCTTAGACTATTAAGGGTATTACAAGCCTAGCAGAGTGCTTGCATTGCTAGAACCTGGAGGAAGCATGAGAAACTGCTTACCTGTGAGAAACCCATCTTTGCCATTTAAATTGCCTTCAAAATTACATAGAAAGAATAAATTACATTGGGAAGTGAAGAATATCTACCTAAATCTGCTTTTCCTTAAATAGTGTGTAAAATAGGTGTAATGTCTGATGTGCTGTTGTGTTGACATATAAGAGGGAGATTTAACTGAAAACTATGAATAGTCATTTCTGGCTTCACTTAATAATGTAGAAATAAGAATTATTTGTCTTAAGAAGGAATAAACATCCTGCCATGTGTGCTTTCAATATAGTCTGTTTCAAATAAATACTATGTTTCAAATAAATTTTCATAGTACAAGCAGCTTCCTAGCTGCAGGAATCCTTCCATGTAGTAGCTGTCAGTCTACTAAATGCCCCCAGAAAAGGCTCCAGCATTTGGTTGCAATCATAGCACTGGCTGTGAATGATAGAGCAGCGCTGCGCTTTGTACACATGTGCTTGGTGACAATGTAGGTGTGTGAACACACCAAATTTCTGTTTGTTAGTAACTGAGGTAATTTGAAATGTAAAACCTCATGTAAATTATTAAATGCAATATAATCCAGCAGTAGTAAAACTGTGTTTTTTAATAATAAGTTTAAGATTTTCTTTTGAAAAATCTACTCATTTAAATAGAAGTCTAAAAAATTTCCAAGTCCCTAGCCTTTCACTTTATTTCTATTATTCTCTCTACTGGCTGATTTGACAGGTTAAAAGCATGTATACACTTGATAGAAACCTTATTTTCCTTATTTTATGGGTATATGAAGATACCGGTCAGTTTGGTCCCCAGTACCAGTTTCCAAGAGTGTAAAAGAGATTTTGCTTTTCAAAACATCAGCTCTCCCATCTGCTCAGTAGCTCTCCCTAGGTCTCAGTGTTGTTTTCACTTTGTTACGCTTCCTGTTATGCTCAGTAAAAGACAGTGAACTTCTTCAGCTAAAAAAAACATAAAAACTTTAGGTGTTGTTTGAGTTAATAGTGTTCTGACTTGCTAAACAAGTTATTGTACAGGGTGGAATAGGAAAGGAACATCCAAAAATGGTATGAAGTTTTCCAAAATAGTAAAGGATTTTTCCCTACAGCCATAAATTACACCTTCACTTATAGTCTCTTAGCTTATCTACAGTGAAGATAAAGGCCTGCTATCATTCTCTATAGAAAGGGGCCTGTGAAATCTGTAGAGTGCTATGTGTGAGTGCATAGGAGCTGATGTTGCCGTGGGTCTGTGTTGCAGGTGTGTCGGCTGGGAGGAATCAAGCACCTGGTGGACCTGCTGGATCACAGGGTGCTGGAGGTGCAGAAGAATGCATGCGGGGCGCTCAGGAACCTCGTCTACGGGAAGTCTACCGACGAGAACAAGGTCGCCATGAAGAACGTCGGGGGGATACCTGCCCTTTTGCGACTGCTGAGAAAAACTATGGATGCAGAAATAAAAGAGCTCGTAACAGGTACGTTTTGTAGAGAAAAGAAGTGGTGCAGAATTGTAATATAATTTTTCTGTTCTGGACAAAATTTTGAAACAGCTGATGAGTGAGTGGAATTGGAGCATACTGTCTGGAAGTTTATGTGTGCATTAATTTTTTGAAGTACAAATTATTTATTTTGATTACTGGCATTTAAGATATTGGCATATAAATATAGATTCACTAGAATAGGTGAAACAGAGTAATTACACTTGGGATAAATTTTGGTCTAGCATGACTCCATCATGCAGCCCCAGTATTGCTTGGATCAGTATTGCTTTATAGGCTCTTAGCATCAGTCTTGTTATTGATTTAAAAAAAAACAAAAATCTTCTAGCAAGTTTTAAATAAAGTCTTGCAGAATTCAAAGATGAACTCAGACTATTGGATGTATATCGTAAGGCAGAGGCAGACAGCTTCAGGAATTCAAATTACAGAGGCCCCTGTATTTCCAGCCTCTGCCTGACTGCACGCACCTCGCATCTCTTGATCATAAGATAGTCTGTAGCCCGTGGACCTACTTGGGCCTTGGTGCAGACTGAAAGGGCAGAGATAATCAATGATTTCCAGTTACACCATATGAAGGAGCTCCATTTTCATGGAAACCAGTTGGTTTTGTTAGTTTTAGATATGTTCTGACACAGCTACTTGTCTCTCTCTTACCATGGGAGGGTTGTGTCTATGTAGGTCAGGGTCTAGAAAAATATGAGAGAAGAGAAAAAAGCAAGTTTTCACTCTTTCAGAAAAGTTTCAAGTTTTGATAGCTTTCTCATTCAGTTTAGTTTCATATTTTCTTTTAAATCTGTTTAATATCAAGCTATTGTGCATGAACTGACAATAAAATATCTTAATAGCTTTTCTAAACAAAGAAATACCTTGGCATGGGATGTGTACCTTAGCCTAGTCACTTTGCAAGTACATTAAGTAGAGAAAATTCTGTACAGAATATATGCAGAGCATATCACTTTAAATTCACATGGAGGCCTTTTCTCCCTAAATGTTTTCCACATAAGCTAATGTTAAGATAACTTGTGCTATCTCTACATCTTGGTTTTCTGTACTAGCATCCAGTTATTTCCTTAAGAATAGTTATGTAAATGGAATATTTAAAAGTAGAATTGCACATTAGCTGCTTTGTCTGCTCTACAAAATTCATGTTTGATGTGTCTGGATTACTTGGGCTTTTAAAATGTAAGGGATAGTTCCACAGATAAAGCCAAATTCTTTTTTTTTTCCTTATAGACTATACAGTTACTATTTATTAATAAAAAGCGCACTGTTATCTTTCAATAAATACACAGCATCTGATCTGTAAGCAAAAATAATTTTCAAATAAATAGGTAATCCATTTGACTTATAATGAAGGGGACTACTTCAGAAAAAGTCTCCCTGATTTTTAACACACAGATATTGCACGATCCTTTTTTATACCAAGTACAGCAAAATGGTAAGTTTTGACCTAATTCTATTCTACTTAAGTCAGTGAAATTGACTTCTGTTAGAACAGAGTCGGACAAATGCTGAACACTGTAGGCAAACCCACAGCACCTTTCTGGCAGAGATTTTTAAACCCCTTCTATAAATACCAAGATAAAGAAAGAAGTGGAGAAGATAGAATTATTTATTGATTTAAAAGATTCTACCTGGAGCAGAATTAAAACTAACAATGCCCCCCCTCCATCCCCAGTTTTATTGTACATTCCAAATATAAGATAACCTTATAAAAGAAAAATTAATATAAATGTGCATCACTGGAAACACTGTGTGCCTGATTTCTAGTTTAAAATTAACATTGTTCATCAGTATTTCAGCTTATCCATAATTTTTCATATCATATGGAATATCTAATATATATTAATGAGGCAAATATACATTTTCTTTTCCTGAGGAAAGGGCTTCTTCCTTAGTAAATAAATTATATCTTCCTCATTAACAGCATCAATTAGTGGATATCCGTTGCGTTTTAAAGAAAACAGGTATATCTAGCATCACTGCATGTGAAATCTCCATCTAGTTTACTTTAAAATGCAAAATTACTTTATCAAGTAAAATAGGAATAGCAAACTTCTTGCCATCTACATAGATGTTTTTCGCATGAATAGATTTATATAAGATTTATGAAGACAGAGATGATTTAGTCAAAAGCAAGCTTTTAGCCTCGCCAACGACTTGGGAACGTGCCCTGAATAACTAACTGTCAGAGTTTTGGAAAGCCGGTGAGTTGCAGGGCTGGGCAGGTCTGCCTGGGCACATCCATGCTTTTCAGCAGCCTGAAACCAGCCTGTGCTTTCGAGGAGCTTGTGTCTCGCAGGGCTCGTGCAGCTCTGTGGGGTGCCAGGTCGGGATATGCGCGTTCCTAGCACGGGGGCACTGCTCATAGCTGAGTCTGCTACGAGGAGACCTGGGCAAACAGCCCTGTGGTGTGTTCAGTTCTGCGCAGTGCTGGTGCGCGTCAAGAGCGCATGTCTTGCAGTGAAAGTGGGTCAGAAGCTACCTCCATAGAGGTGTTTTTTTGGTTTCACTCAGATCTTCACCAGCAGAGATGAGTCATAAACTGTTCCCAGTACAGAGCCAAAGCTCTGACCCAGCCTTTCCAGTCAGGTAGCAATGCTGTCACAGGCCAGGACTTTTAGGAAAACAACTAAAACTGAACCTTCTCTTTCCTAAGTAAGTTACATCTGTCACAGCAAAATTGTTCTTAATTTGAGCAATTCCAGTTAGCAAACTATTGATTTTTGTGTTTTTTTAATTTTATATAATTTATATATATTTTTTTTTTTATATATATATATATATATATATATTTATATATATATATATTATCATATATCATTTTCTGCATTCCATGTACCTGACAACATAAAGGCAGGAAAAAGGTCAGTGGAATTTCATACTTATCGACTTCACTATTAGTTTTCAGCTGATGCTGCCTTTTGTAGAGTCAATAAATTACAGCCCTACATTTATGCTATTATAATTCCAGTCTTTTCCCTACCTTATTATAAGAGATAAAGCCTACTGCATTTATTAATCTGCAAGTGATTCAGTGGAGTTTTAAATATATTTTTTTAATTATAGAGCAGGCCATCAGCTTGAATGTTTGAATATGTTGCTCTTGAGTGATTTTATGTGCACTATGCACAGCAAGGAGCATATAAAAACAGACTGTTATTTTTTGGTGTGTTGAAAGAACAGCTCTTCATAAATAATTCCTCTCCAGTTGAGAGTACCTTACAGAAGATTTTGAGAAATCCATTGCTTTGGGGGCTTCTGTGACCTGTCTGCTGGCATTGGAATTTGATAAAAACAATTGACATCACTAAATGCAACAACATTGAGTTTTGTTTTTAAAAATAAGGTTTCCAAATCACCCATTTTTACCAGCTGTCAAGTTCTGGGTGTCTCTATTTCTGCTCCATTCCAGTTTGTGGGAATTTCACGTGCTTTGTAAATGCCTTTTAAATTAGGGATGAGCATGGTCAGTTGTAATCAAATTTACAATACTAAGTTTTACTTGAAGAACTTGACTCACATCTTAGAGACAGATCTAGGACCTTTAGGATGAAAAGCTGACTGAACCTGCAGGAGGAAGCCGTTCTTCTGGACTGTTTGATGCACTGTTTTATATGCTGGTGTCTTTAGCCTGGTTGATCTCTGCTCTTCTTAGGCACCCATACGTAAAGACAGCTTCACAAAGAAATCTTACAGGCAATCCTGTTTTCTTTGTTGCTAGACCAGAGTTTACATTGAATCATGAAGGTTATTTGGCTTTACCTGGCGATGTTCAAGGATGGGACCTGCATCATTTATGAGTTTTTGTCTCGGTGCCACAACTTTCGATCTAGCAAATTAGAAATATGGATGAGGTGCAAGTCATGGTGTTGTGCTTGGAGGGCTATGCTGCCTGTCTGCAGGGCTGCACCCACTTGCATCAGCTGCCACTGGCTCGTCCTGTCCTTGGTTGCATATTCTGTCTAATTACCAGGCCCTAGGACAGCTCGAAGACTCTAGGTGGATCCTGATCATCTGCTTTCTGCCAGCATCATAGAGTCATGCAACCACTGTGGTTGGAAAAGACCTTCAAGATCAGTGCCGGGGAGCTGGCAGATGAGTCGTGGTGCAGGGCCTTGCGAGGCGGTTGTGTCCTTGCAAGTCTATTTGGAAGGACCTTGGGTTATCCCATGTCTAGTGTCAAATTTGTGATGTTATTTTAATTCTAAAGAGTTACCTCAGAACAGAATTGGAAAGAGGAGAGTGGTCTTAAAATACATCAGTGAGTGACTTGTGCTGCCTCTGTGAGAGGACTCGCCTGCCCCGGCTAGGACTCCATGTAGAACCTAAAATCTGCTAAAGAAAGGAAAGATCTACTACATGAACCTATACATTTTCCTTTAGTTATCTTTTGTTAAAGCTATTTAGATCTTTTTATTGATTTTGTTGGTGCCTGATCTTGTAGAAGGTGTGTCTCAAAGCCTTTTAATTATAGCTCTGAATAACGTATTGAGCATTTTTATTGTACTTTCTTCATCCTCTACCTCCTTTAATTTTTCTTCTATCCTTATTCAGCCAGTTTAGAGAAAAACATATTCTGGTTCATCAATATTGTTTGCGTAGCTTGATATGAGTGCTGTATTTTATCCTGAGGCACGAGGGTGGGTGGGAAGGCCCAAGCGGTGGCGCCTGCCCTCCCTGTGCCGAGCAGCCTGCGCCGGATCCCTCTCTGCGCCGGATCCCTCTCTGGGCTGGACCAGCACTGCGGGCCCTCTCCGGTGGGCGCCTGGGCTCGGAGCGGCGCAGCCTGCGGTGCCGCTGCCGCTTTGTGTTTCGGGCAGGAGGTTCAGGAACACGCAGATGCCTCTCTCTGAATGAGGAAGAGCGAGGCGTCCCTCCTTCAATGACACACGAAGCCATGGGCGACCCTGGGGCCGCTCGCATGTTGCTGGTGCAGTCCCTCGGTACGGCTCCTTGCTGCCTTTCCCATTTGGAAGGCAGCTCCCCAAACGGCAGCCGCCTTTGCGCGCAGGTGGGCGGCAGTGGGAGGCGGACGGGGACGGCTCGGGGTGAGCTCAGCAGATCGGGTAAGCTCTTTGCTCCCGCGTTACGTAACGACACGATTTAATATCTAATAGCACTCCGAGTCTTGATGCAGAATTTATTCTCTTATGTAACTTGCTTTAACAACAAATGGGGAGGCGAGTTTAGTCGGGATTAATTTCTAGAATGAGTCACAAACAGTATGAATTTGGGTCTCAGAAGTGGGATACCATTGGCCAAAGAAGCGTTTGGATTTCTCACCATTAAGTTTCCGTGAAGGATTTCTCTTTAGTGAGAGCATACAGTCGCAGGAGATATCTAGGGTATGAAATTGCATGGGTATTGAAATAGCTGTATGTAATCAAGCTCTTAAACATAAGGAAATAAGTAAACCTTAGCTTGTTTTGAGCGTGCTGATGTGATGCAGTTCAAACTTGGAAGCCCCGAGCAAATTATGAAGATCTCTCCAATTTTTCATAGTGTTCTTCCAGCTCATCATAGAGACTTCTTTTCCCTTTTTCCTGGTTTATTTATCAGTGGCCCATCTTTCTGGAAGTCTTCTTTTACAGGAACTGGAGAGAAAGGTCATAAAGACTTCTTTCCATGTCTCTCAAAGTGTCTGTATGATAGTATTAAAGTTTAGCCTCAGTTATCACTCACATTTTGACATGTGAAGTATCCTCTGCAGTAGATTTCTCATCTGTAGTTCTTCAGGACTGTGGGACTGTGAAGGACATGGTCTGCTTTTATAAATTAATGCAGTATCTTGCAATATGTTGAAGCATTGGAATGAAATGTGCAGTTTTCACAGAAGAAATGTTCTGCAAAATAGGTGTTCGAAAAGGTAACCAGACCATGGGCACAAGAAGAAATTTTGGAGAAAAGATTGAGCAAAAATCACCTGCGAGCATGCACAGAAAATGGAACAATGGCAGAGCTGTCTAAGGACGGGAGAGTTGCTGAGCCCATGGGGACGGTTCCTCTTGGACATGGAGTGGGACACGGGAGTTGTCGGCTCCGGCAGAGCAGGTGCCAGGCGACGAAGCTGCCTCTGCCTGATGGGAGTGACGGCCTCCGGGAGCCTCCGTCCCGCTCCCCTTTCCCAGAGTCCAAACTCCGGGAGCTGTGGTTTGACAACCAGGAGAGCAACTCAGGATTAGCCACAGGTTTCCATCCGCATGTGTTGGGAACAGGAACTCTGGGAAGACCAGGATGAGTATGATCATCTGGACAGATGAGGAGTATTGAGGGCGCAGGCAGGCTTGGAAACGTGCACACATTTGTACCAAGATGGGCTGCACGCCCAGGACACAGTTGGGCAGGGAGGGCTGTGGGGCTGGGGGCTGCCGTATCGCGCAGCCATTTCTGTGGGGTGTTCAGCACTTTGCACGTGTGCTCTGCAGCAGGACCTGCATTCGCCCATGCATTGGAGCAGTGGAGCCGCCAGGCAGAAAACTAAGATCTCACTCTAAGGTTGTCAGTATGAGCCTCCTGTGTTCAGATATCTAAGAAAAGCATAGACGTTAGGCATGAGTAGCAGAGGTTTCAGGAGCATGGAAGGGTGTTCTGCAAACTGAGACGAGTCTGAGCACTTGTAGGGAATATCCGTCCGGTCTCCTGTGGCTTCCCCTTGCTGTCCAGGAGCAGAACGAGCCGCTGTTCAAGCAAGGGAGGAAGGAAATTCCCCTGTCAACCAGTACGTGTTTCTGTTGGATAGTTTTCCTTGAGGAAGAGAGGAGCTTATTTGCTCACTAATATGCAGGCTTCCCTTCTCAGTGTGGGAGGAAGCAGCTGTTGATCTGCTGCTGTGTTTGTTCTCATTATTATTGCACCTCTTTCATTGAAGGCTTTGCGCCTCAGCCAGGCAGCCCGGCTGAGAGCTGTTGAATAAACTGCAACCTGGAGTTTACAAAATAGGATTTCAAGTCTGTAAAGTGAATCTTCCGATGGCAGCTCTGCTGGCCGTGCATTGATCAGTGCTGTGTTGTGTGAAGGGCTGTGCTGGCGTCCTCAGGGGCTGTGTTTCCTGGCTGGGCACGGCTAGCTCTGTGTGTGCCGGGCTGCCAGCACTGTGGGTGCTGGTGGCACGGCCGCGACGCTCCCTCCTTCCGCAGGCGTCCTCTGGAACCTGTCCTCCTGCGACGCTGTGAAGATGACCATCATCAGGGACGCGCTGTCCACACTGACCAGCACCGTCATCGTGCCCCACTCCGGCTGGAACAGCTCCTCCTTTGACGACGACCATAAAATGAAGTTCCAGACGTCGCTGGTTCTGCGCAACACCACCGGATGCCTCAGGTAACAGGCTGTCACAGAGGCCCCGATTTGCAGGGGAACCGGGCTATTCAGCAGCTGCTTCTTATTGGACAACTTTAAAACAAAATCACTGTTAAAGCCTGTAACAGTTAGTTCTTCCACACAGGCAAGTTTCACTATATTAAAAGAAAGCGAGAAATACCAAGTTACACACTGGAAGATGTTAACTATTATGGCATTAACTTACTGTGGTTTGTACGAATACAGAACACCACAGGATCATGAAAATTGCTTGGACAAAGACCTGAGCATTTGGTGATTCTTTATTGCTGTATATATTTTTAAAAGCTATGTATGTATATGTAGGTATATCAGCAGTGAAATGTTTGGCTATTTCTTTCATGAATTTAACAAACAGCAAAAACATAAAAAAGTATTCTTCAAAATAATAAAATGCAAAATTAGAAAAATCAAAAAAGAAAATTCAAGGACACAGAACAGTTTATGAACAATTTCTGTGTATTTGTAGGTTTGCTTATTTTAATTCACTAGATTTCGAATTGTGGTCCATTAAATGTCAGAGTGTGTTCACTGTGCTTAGATACATGGAACAGAATGGCTTTTTACTCGCTGGTGGCATTTCTAAACACCAGAGCGTTTCCCTAAGTGGCTCCTCTGTTCTGCTTGCGGGGCTGTTTCTCGCCTGGGCTTGGGTGCAGGCAGGAGCTCTGCAGGCCCCATGCATCCCGTCCCCGCTGCCTCCCCTTGTTCTTCCACACACTGCAGCCTTTTCCTGCCCCGCAAGTGCCTGCATTTGTCCGTGTGTCTGTCTGTGTAGCACTCTTGCCAGCATTAGCGACCACCGAGCAGACCACTGAACTTACTGGGTGATACAGGAGGCCACAAAGGGTGTCTGTAACACGGACAAGCCCAGGGCGCTCTTATGCAGACTGGAGAGTTGTGTCAGGCCTGCTGAAAGAGCTTGCAGTGGGAAGGGCAGCAGGGAGAGCTTTGTGCTCACAGTTGGCTTTGTCAGTGGGACACTTCTGGCTCGAAGTTAGTGGCAATTAGAGTCTCTTCTGTGAAGAGTGTGGTGGGTGGGAGACGGTTGTTGCTCCGAGTCCAAGTGCGTTTTCTTCTAACTGCTCAAGTCAAACAGCTGTGTGAGAGACTTCTGCAGACACCTGGTACGTATGTGCACTGCTGAGCGCACTGTGCAGTCGTTTACATTCCCACTCCTTTTGATCCTCAGGAACCTGAGCTCTGCAGGTGAAGAAGCCCGGAAGCAAATGAGGTCCTGCGAAGGGCTGGTTGATTCACTGCTCTATGTGATCCATACATGTGTGAACACGTCAGATTATGACAGCAAGGTGCGTGCACACTCTACGTGATTTCTCGCACCAAGCTATATGTCCAATAAGATCTTTGGGGGATTGCATAGTGTAATTTAGGGCTGCCATGTGCTTAGCTTGACTGGTTCTCTCCCAGCCTGAAGTTACTCATGTGCAGTCAAATTCTGTTGCACAATTCAAATTAACTGGTTCTGTGCACAACATTTTGGCAGTTTTGAAGTATTAATTCCTTGATAAAATAATAATGAAAAGCACTCATGCTATTTTTGTATTCTAAATACCAGAAATATTCACTACAGCAGAGATTACATTTAGCAATATTTTCATATCTGGGGTTATCAGCAGAAGCATTTCCATTTTCCTAAAGAAGCTGAAGTAGCAGTGCCCAAGGCCCAGAATTAGAAATTGGTGCTTGTACCCCAAATACAAGATTTCTCTCTGCTTAATTTGTTTGGTTTGCAGCATCACTATGTGACAAAGCAGCTAATTCCAAACATCCTTTTTCTTTGCCTCCAGACAGTGGAAAACTGCGTGTGTACCCTGAGAAACCTCTCCTACCGCTTGGAGCTGGAGGTGCCTCAGGCGCGTCTGCTGGGCATCAGCGAGCTGGATGACTTGTTGGGAAAGGAGTCACCCAGCAAAGACTCAGAGCCCAGTTGCTGGGGGAAAAAGAAGAAGAAGAAAAAAAAAGCTTCACAGGAGGATCAGGTTTGACTTTTTTTTTTTTTTTTTTTTTCCCCAGCTATATCAGCTGTAGTTTAGCCAAAACAAAAGCATATGGCTTAGACAAAAACAAAACAAAAATAGAAGGTTTCTGTACTCACAAGTATGTGTTCCTTTCACAGTGGGATGGAGTTGGCCCTATACCAGGATTTTCCAAGTCTCCTAAAGGGGTGGAAATGCTGTGGCACCCGTCTGTAGTAAAACCCTACCTGACGCTGCTGGCAGAAAGCTCCAACCCAGCGACTCTGGAGGGCTCCGCGGGATCCCTGCAGAATCTCTCTGCAGGCAACTGGAAGGTAGCGCTGCAAAAGCTCCTCAACGCGGGGCGTCTTGCTTCCCGTCACCCCTCCTGTGCTTGTCACTTTACTTGATTGCTTTTAAACAGATACTGGGATGCGTTCAGGAGGAAACATAGTAATTTTCTCTTCTGCATAAACTCGTTTCTCTCCAGCATGTGTCACTACTACTTACGCGTTGCAAAAATAGTGCTTCCTTGGTGCAAGGCAAAAGCAAAGAAGATAGGCAAGACGGCACTGTGGAAACTGGCCTTGGCATTGGTGAAATCTTTCTTGCAGTGCACATTAAAAAGAATCCCGCTGTCAGTTTAGATGGGAAGGTGCTGCTGAAGCAAGATCAGTCCAAATACAAATATATAATATGCAATGTTATGTCATCTTTAAGGTTTTAGCCTATTAGCTCACTTAAAAAAAAAAATTGTTCTGTATTAGGAATAAGCCAAGAACAGGAAAGAACCAACCTTCCATGATAATAGAAAAGATATGTGTTTAACTTAGTGTCCTTTCTTTGGAAAATGCCCTCCCTAAAATAGAACAAGAATGGGAGATGGTATCAGCTGGGCCGTTGTAGCAGGTCTGCAGGTGACCATAGCTTTATTGCAGTTTGCAGCATACATTCGAGCTGCTGTGAGGAAGGAAAAGGGACTGCCAATCCTCGTGGAGCTGCTGAGAATGGATAACGATAGAGTCGTTTCTTCGGTGGCCACTGCCCTAAGGAACATGGCACTGGATGTTCGTAACAAGGAGCTTATTGGTAAGTAGAGAGCTGTGCTGCAGCAAGCAGGGTTACTGGCACTTCAGGCCTTATACTGAACAAACACCAGGAGGAGAGTCTACCAAGAGAAACAGCATAAATGATTTTACTATTCCATGTCCCTTGTGTCACAAAAATTAATCTTTTTGACAGCAGTAGCTTTTCAGAGTAATGTTGTCTTTTGGTTTGCCTTGAGCCATCTTGCATAGCAATCTCTTTACAGCAGAGTGAAGCCACCTCAGCTAAACTCAACCAGACAGGAAACCATTGATACAAAATGTGATAGAAAACGCAACTCTGCTTCCTTGGAGCAAAGTGGTAACCTGCCTAGAGGGCTTCCAGGTTCCTTGCTGCTGTAAGGGGATATGACAGCTCTGCTGTGCGCCAGTAAATGTTTTATTTAACTGTGCTAGATAGTGAGAGGGGGAGGAAACCCTTCCTAGTAGAGAACAGCGTAGAGCAGTATAAACAGTATATGCATGTCTTTGCTGAATTGTTGAATTATCAAAAGAGAATAATCAACAGTGGTGCTCGCTAGAGAAAAACAAACTTACTGTTTTCCTTTCATGTATTTTAATATTATTGTCTAGTCTGTTTCAAAAAATAGATGTTTGTCCTTCCTTGCTCAAGAATCTCCAGCTCTTTTACAACCAGTGGTCAACATGCCCCAACCTCAGCCAAGCCTGATGCAGCCTGAATGAATCTTACTAACATGTGTCATGGAATAGGGAAGTTTGATTTTGTTAAAGGATGTTCTGTTTCAAACTCCTGTGATAAATATATAAAACAGTTTGTGCAGATAAGAATATAGCTCTCAAAAACACAAATATAAAGTTGATTTATTCCTGAGGCTTTTCAGAGCATACTTTAGTGCAAAGCATGTGCGGTGTCAGCGGTTGTGCCCTGCGACAACCGAGCACACAGGTAGCCCCCAGGTGACACTTTCTTTTCAGGACGTATCTTCCTTTCCTGGCAGGAGCTGGGAGGTGGGGAAGGCACCTCTCTCCCGCTCCCCACCAGAGCCGAGAGGGTTTTGCTTTGCAGATCCCCTGCAAAACCCCCTTTGCACAAAAGGCTTTGAGTTGAGGTTTGAATCCTGAGCTCCCCTGAGGTTTGAATCCTGAGCTCCCCTGTGCCAGTAAGCAATCTGAGGTGACTTCAGCACAGTTGGTGTGAGCCGGGATAATTGGGCTTGGTGGTCTGAACTTGGAAGAAAATGAAGTTATTTCAGAGTAGAGGGCAGGGACTCTATAATGTAATAATAATAATGTATATATAATTCTATAATATAAGAGTAACAAAAAAAATTGGTATGTGCAAACATCTGTTGATGATCTTGCTCAAAGAGGGGCAGTGACAGAGCCCCAGTGTATTCACAGTACGAGTGGCCATTTTCCAGTAGGAATAAAAAAGTTCCTCTTGTTTGCAGAAGATTTCCTCGGGCACCTAATGCAAATAGATGGTTAACAGCTTTTTGTGAAGCTTACTCATTATTCACTGTTACATAAAATACATGTCCTCACAAAATCAGTTAATAATCACACCATTATCAACACAGCCTAAACATAATAAAAATATTTACCTTAACTTCAGTTAATTTCCTCTGTTTGCATTACGATTATTCCTGTGCATCAGTCAGTAATTAAAATCTGACAGAAATGAGATCTGATCTCTTGTGGGTGACAAACAAGGTGAGCAGAATGGCTGAATTAAAAACCTCCAAACTACTGTAAGGATTTCTTTAACCTTTCCACATTAACCCAGGAATATGCTTCACCCTTTCAATCATTAGAAATAATGTAATGTTCTCCCTCCAAATAATTTTGATTTCCAAACGATCCTGCTGTAATACACACATGCAATTCATTTCTCACATTTTTTTTTAAGAGAGAAGAAAAAGAATTTATTTGAAAAATGGATATCTAATCTTGTTTGCCTCTGTGTAAAATGTGACTCCTTGGAAGTGTTCCTATGTTCCCTGTTACTGCTTTTGGATACAACTTTGTGATGAGTGCTAGAACTGCACGCCTTAAATACGAAGATGTATTTTTCTTTGTTGTTAAAGGTAAATATGCCATGCGGGATCTGGTGAATCGACTTCCCGGAGGCAACGGGCCCAGTGTGCTGTCCGATGAGACCGTAGCTGCAATCTGTTGTGCCCTGCATGAGGTCACGAGCAAGAACATGGAAAACGCCAAAGCCCTCGCCGACACCGGCGGGATAGAAAAGCTGGTGAACATAACCAAGGGAAGAGGTGACAGGCAAGTAGGCAGCAAGCCTCATCAGCACTAAACGGGTTATCTGTTCGGTTTCAGAGGTTTTAGGAGTATGGGAAATGTCTTTTTGGGTGGAAAAAAATATGTTTTTGCAGTCCGCCTCTATTGGTCAGGAGCTACCAAACCTGGAGTTTATCGTTAATAAAATGCTTGGAGCTTTTAAAAGTCAGCATAGCTGAGCACCTTTGCGGGGGTCTATCACAACCACTCCTAGAGAGCCTAGGCATGCCCAGTAGGTAGGTTGTGGACATTTCTCTCTCCAGAGGGATTTTCTGGAACAGATGTGCTGAAGAAGCACTGACAGGGAGATGTGGCGCTCGCAGCGTCACTGTGCCCACGCCGCACGGCCTGGCAAACAGTGCTGCACCGGGTCTTTGCAGAGCTGCACCAGGTCCGTGCAGAGCTCTGGATGTGTGCAGACCTGCACCAGGTCCCTGCAGAGCTCTTGCTCCGTGCAGACTTGTGCTGGGTCCGTGCAGCCCTGCAGGGACACTCGGAACTGAGAGCAGAGCCTCAAGTGAGGGGACACTCATTTGAAAAAGGTGAATTTGGATAAAATGCTCCCTTTTTTAAGTAGGGTGAATACTTTGCAATCCTGTAATATTCTTTGCATCCTTAGGTCTTCACTGAAAGTGGTCAAGGCAGCTGCCCAGGTACTGAATACGTTATGGCAATACCGAGACCTCCGTAGCATTTATAAAAAGGTAAATTACAAAATTGTCATCCTCATGAAAACAGTTGCAAATACCTTTTATTTATTTTAATGATTTATTTCCGTGTTCTTTCTTCATGTGGCTCCATAGGATGGATGGAATCAGAGTCATTTCATTACACCAGTGTCCACACTAGAGCGAGAGAGATTCAAATCGCATCCTTCTTTATCGACAACGAACCAACAGATGTCCCCTGTCATACAGTCAGGTCAGTCAAAGACTGCAGAGTTTTACCTAAGAGCCTCTTCCTTTGGGGTCCCTGGCATGGCTCTTTTTGGACTCTGATCCTCTCTGTTTAGTCACTCCTCTGCCTAAAACCTGCTTTCTCCCCACTGGATTTAAACGTATGAATAAGACTGTGTTTCGTGTACAGTGCGTTACCTTCACTGATACTTCTGGCAGGCTTCAAATCCCACTGGATTCATGGGTGTCTCAACATTAGCATTTATTTTGGATAAGAAGCAATTTAAGGCCTGTCTCCTCATTTACTCAGTGCAAATCAAAATGCAGATAGTCTTGGAATGTGTGAATCTGTTTCACGTGAGGCGAAGGCAGCTGCTGTGTGTGCAGAGCCCTGGTGTCCTTGCCTAGGGGCGAGGGGCAGCCCGACCTTGGGGGCAGGGAGATGAGTCTTCAGCAGCAAGATGCTCCGGACGCCCAGTGTGGAGGCCAGGCCTGGTGTGCAGTGTGGAGGCCAGGCCTTGGTGACGAGCAGCCTCTGCTGTGCGCACGGTGGCCTCACAGCACGTGTGTGCACAGGCAGCTACAGACTTTGCAGTCTAGTAATGTGGTAGTGTGATACTTACTAGCCAAAATAGGCTAGTAAGTCAAACACACAAACCGGCTTTTCTGTTCTGCACCTGGTTTTTACCTGTTCTGCACGACCTCATTGTGCTGCTCTTAGTTCCACCCTCAGTGTTGAGGATTCTCAGAGATTTCCCTTACCAAAAACCTTTGTCATTCTCACAGAATGTGGTACTGGAAATAGCTTTTGCTTTTACACCCAGTGCCAAATTGTGCACATGGGCATCACCTCTGCAGACTTCAGTCTTGGACCACTTGAGCTATGTATGTAGAGGCAGACCTAACAAAATCTCACCAAAATAAGCAAGAGTGTTGAAGCCAAGAGCTTCAACAGGGGAAGCTTGGCAGTTTGGGGCGAGGAAGGTGTCCCGGGCACGGCGGCCGCTCCATGCGGCGCCGATGAGCGGCAGAGGAAAAGGCATGTGGGCTTTAGTGGCTGCTCTTTGTCAGGCACTGGATAGCTGTCGGTGTTAGCTGCCCATAAGAACAACTGTGGCATGTGACGTAAGGAGCAGGGCTAATAGAAGACATATTATTGATTAACAACTGAAGCAAAATTTCTAGAAATTATTTTTTCTCCTGTGTTAAGCAGTTTGTCTAAGCTAATGAAACAGTTGAGTTCTTGGTGAAAATTTACTGGTGAAAATTTCCTACAATTAGAACGGATTTATATGTTCACAGCAAGGATAAAACCTAAGTAATCCACTGCAGTGATTGTACAGGGGCTACCAGCCCCCTAGAGCACCAGCTCCCCAGGGCTCCCTTGCAAACCACAAACACAGCACCCGTGTGCGCAGCTCCGCTCAGCCACGTAGCGACAGATCTTCAAACTGTGTTTAAGGATAACCTGCGTAACATCATAAATGCCAGCAGGACTATTGTATTCTAATTACACACAAGTGAGCATTTACATTTTTGTTGGAATGCTAAATAAGGTTCTCAGGACGTCATGTACAAACCGAAATGGGTAAGGTCTCAGCTATAAGTTGTGGATGTGACTTGCCATAAAAATATGAAATGATAATTTGATGGTTTCTTGTTTGCTGGCTTTGGTCTCTGAGGTTCTTTATCTTGGTAGAAGTATATGCTGGTTTTATGCATTACATGAGTGTGGCCATCTCTATCATTTGCTAATCTTTGGAGACAGAGTGGAGCGGAGAGGAAAAAGAGGTTAGGTTTGACAATTTTATAGGCTTTTATTGTCTATACTGATTATCTTTCTTCTTTCCTCAGTTGGCAGCACATCCTCCTCACCGGCTTTATTAGGAATTAGAGAGCCCCGCTCGGAATATGATAGAACGCAACCTTCTATGCAGTACTACAGTAACCAAGGTGACGTCATTACACATAAAGACATATATACTGGTAAGATACCAATTTGGAATATCTAAATATTTCTCAGATGTGGAATTAATGCAGTCACAACATGGACAGTTGCATTAGCAGCTTGTTACTGTTGCTTAATGTGGGATGTGATGTAAGGAGCAGGGCTAAGAGGAGATGGCATCATTGATTAACAGTTGAAGCAAACTTTCTAGAAATTAATTTTTTCCTCCTGTGTTAAGCAGGGTTTGTCTAAGCTAACAAAAGAGTTGGATTGCCTTGGCAGGCTTGTTACTGTTGCTTAATGTTTTCCATTTTTGTTCATATTCACTGCACCTGGAACAGAGCAGGGTATTCATCTGTCTTCATTGTGTTATTTTCTTTAAAATTGCACACATTACCAGAATAGGAAGAGATTTGTTTGCATATTAGGAGATAAGAGGTATTTGGAAAATGTAATCATATTTAACACTGTTACAGAAAGTCATTTTATTATCCTGTTACTCATAAACACTACAAAAGAAAGTACCAAGACTTCATGCTTGTTTTCACCTTTCCTCCATTACAGTTGACCTAAGTCATGAGATGACAGAGAACAAGAAGCAAATTGCTTGTTGCAGCAACACCTCCAAAACCCCCTCCCAGCTTCAATTTTAACTGTTGCTGAGGGACTGAATTTTCTTGGTGTATTTAAAGACCAAGTTCATGCTACTGATTATTAACGGTGATATATGATTGCAAGGGAATCTAACAGCCCTTACAGCCATGAGTGCTATGTTAAAACCCTAGTACTTTCAAGGAAAGGTGTGATACCTTATTTATAAAGCAACTTTTATGTATGTTTTGGTTTTGTGTATTTTGTATTACACTTCTAAAATACTGCATTAGCTTGGAAAGAAAGATTGCATGAGAAGCTGTGTAAGGCAGATAAATGTGACCGAATATAATGGCAAAGGCTTCCATGGGTTTAGCTTTTAGGACTCCGTTTTTGGCTCCCCGATGCGTTTGAGAGTTTTCATGGACTAATTCTTCCTGTAAAGTTGTTAGACGAGGGGTGAAGGTCTGTGCGTGGAGCCCGTCCGGCTGCGCGGTACCGCGGAGGCCCCGGGCACCGGCTGAGGACACAGGGGCAGGGCCGGCCACGCTGCCAGCAGCACCCAGGGCACAGCCGGGGTGCTGACACTGTCACCTGCATGACCAAACTGTTCTGCTGAGACACCTACCTGCTTGGGTGCCTGTCACTTCAACGGGTAAAGGCAAAAAGAGTGGTAAAAAAACAATAAAGTTGATGCCATAAACATTTTCTCACAGGTTCCAGCAAAGCTTCACCAATTTACATCAGTTCTTATTCCTCACCAGCAAGAGAACAAAACAGACGACTACAGGTGACTTTGAAATTTTATTTTTATTTTCAATTGATACTGATACAAGATTCAGCATGGGCTATTTCAGTGGAATTTAAGGGAGTTTAGTCTATGTTGTAATATCAGAGCTTATTACAGCGTTTATCTGTAACAGTTAATGTTACTGAGGATTACTGTTCTTAGAAGGACATTAGCAACTGCTGGTCTATGGACTGTGTGTTTTCTTCTTATAGAATCATAGAATGCTCAGGGTTGGAGGGGACATCCAGAAGTCATCCAGTCCAACCCCCTGCACACGCAGGGGAGTTACAGTGACTATTTTAGTGTATTCATGACTATATCTAAAACCAATCTGGTGAAGTACTCACATTCCGTACTATGTATGCCTTAAAAATACTACTTCTAGACAGTTCCCAGGTTCCCAGTGAACGCTGCAGGTGTCATGCAGGGGGCTTAGGGGTGTTTCTTATTTGAACATGGGGTACGTTTCACAGAGGATGACGCCTCTGCTCCTGACGTTGCCAGTGCAGCTGCATTTGCACACATTATACATCACAGTTCCACAAAAGGTGAGTTTTGAGAAACAAGTCTTTTCTTTGCTAATTATTTTTAATAATTATTTTCCCCACCTTTTTGCAACAGCATCAGCAATTGTACTACAGTCAGGAGGATACCAACAGAAAAAACTATGATGCATACAGGTTATATTTGCAATCCCCACATAGCTACGAAGACCCGTATTTCGATGACCGAGTTCACTTTCCTGCTGCTTCAGATTACACAACACAATATGGACTGAAATCAACCACAAATTACGTAGACTTTTACTCCACCAGACGATCTTCTTATAGAGCAGAACAGTACCCAGGTTCACCTGACTCCTGGGTGTAGCATTAAAGAATAATAATAATAAAAAAGGTTTATTTCTCATCTTGCTTGAGAAGAAGTGGAATGGCCTCATTTGCTGTTTTGGTGATGAAATGTGAAAGTGAAGTAAAAGAAGGAACAAAGGAGTATTTTTTTTTTAAATAAGGAATTATGAGGAAGGTGTAAGAAAAACTGGAAGGGATGGGGGTTTTGCTCTGTTTAGATGTTAGGCATTAATTACTAGTAGCTCCTGTAGTCTGGTGAGGGTGTGGGCGATGTGATGAAAGGTTTGAGAATTGACTAAAATGAATTTTGAAAGTGTGTAGGTCAGAGCAAATTAAAGCTGATTTTTTTAATGTGAATAAAAGTCTTGTTCTGATAGTTTGTACAGAAAAAAATAAAATGGATGCCCTGGTTTTATTGCTATTACTAAATGTCAAGATTGTATGCTATTACGTCTTGTAAATTTATTTTGTTGGTGTAAATATGGAAATGCCACATTGGTTAAAAGTGCCATCATTTGTAATGCAGTGTGTCATTTTAAAACACATACGAAACATCGTACAAAAATAAAATCCAAGGAAGTGTTATAAACTAAAAAAAAACACTTTTTAAAATTAATAGTGTAATTCTAAAGCACAAAGTCCAATCCAGTATATCTATACATTTCCCATTCCCTGCCTCTTTCATAAGAAACTCCACTGCCATTTTCTATGCACATGGAAGAACAATAAATATGGAAGTCTCATCCATGGAAAACTGTTCCCTGTTTTTTTTTTTTTTTTTTTTCCTTTCTCTCTCAATGTGTGATATTCAGAAACAAATACAATGAATGTGAAGTTAAATTGCATGAGCTAAGCAGCCTAAGTCTGTCAAAACCATTTGGGCCATTTCCCCAACTTTCTACAGTTTGTGTGGGCTGGCATACCAAAGTGTGAATTTATGCACTTTTTTTTCCCCTTTTTTTCTTTTTTTGTTTCTGACACAGGCAATCCAAAGTATTTCACAACACTACTCTGCTGCCTTCTCACCATTCCTCCAGCCCCTTGCTGCCCTGCAAGGAAAGCCAAGAGCATCTTGCTTTCATAGAAATTCATCTCCATTTCGACTGAAGAATATCTTGTTTAGATCTATTTACAGTCCAAATTCTTGATTTTAAATAACAAAGCTGTATGCTTTCCTCTTGTTTTAGGGTCTGTTACCTTTGTACTGCTGTAAGCATAAATGTTGTTCCCCATCCTAGCGCATCAATGAAACGTGGCCAGTGAGCAGAGCTGCTGCGCCATTTCGCCAGCCGGCCAAGGCCTTTTCCTTCCTTGGTTGGGCTGCTGCTGCCCCCACTATAAAAGGGAAATAAAATGAAGGGCCAACAGCCCCAAAAGGTGGTGAATCAGGTGGCAGCTTTGTCCACAGCCCTGTGCTTCCCTTGGGTGGCAGTGTGACTGCAGGTGTGTTCTGAGGGCAGAGTGGTCTGGTGTCGTGCAGACGGTGCCTTTGCAAAAAGACTTCATTTTTCCTTCTAACGCAGTGTTTCCGTAGTGTTTCCATTTACTGCACTCTGACTTTCCTGTGAGAACAATTTCTGTGCTGACAGCGCATCACGGTTCTGGCTGCCTTCGGCGTCAGCTGCAGGCTGGTATCTGCACAGACGAATGTAGATCCATGTTGGTCATACGCCTCTTGCCTCCTGAAGATGGTAAGCTCTTCAGCTGTTATCACATACACTTCATTGTCCCAGGAAAATTAAATTAATTTCAGGTAACAAAATGGCATACTGTGTCTCTGAAATGGCCATAATGTTTTATCATTATTTTCTTCTCTGAATTTGTTAATATCTCTCAAAAACAAACACCCACACAAAAAAGAACGAAGAAAGGAGAAGCAGGCATTTGAAAGTAATGAACAGCTGTATCACAGAATGTATGTATCATGGAATGAATCTTGCTTTTCACCTGAGGCTGTTCATAAAGACCAAAAGCAGTGAGATCTGGGACAGCCCCACAACCTGGATCTTCTGTACTGTAGCATACATATTTCGTTATGGTTTTTTTTTTTTTTTTTAAATTAGGCTTGTTTATTTATGTATTTTACATGTTGTTATGCCCTGGTGCTATATTGATTAAACTGATCTGTACAGTATGTTTGCTGGTTAATTCCCTTTACGTGCATTTTCAAACTGAATGGGCTGAAGCAGGGACCAAAGAGCATATGCTGCAGGTGCGCAGGTCCTCCTGCATGGAGAACGGCCGCGCTGCAGCCCGTGCAGAGCGCGGCCGCGGGCAGGCGCTGGCAGCCCCGCGTGCCGGCTCGCGGGCTGCAACACAAGTGCGACACATCAGGAACCAAAACGCATTAACCGCGACAGGATACCTAAATGGAGCACCCAAGAACGGGCAATCGGAAACAGACTGCACTGGAACAACCTCTGTTTCAGAACTCCTGGGGACACAGCATTTTTAAGAAGATCCAAAGCATTCCCGGAAGGACACTGGAACTTTGAGGGCTGCACATGTTGCTTATAAGGTGATTTTTTTTCTTTTTTTTTTTTTTTTTTTTTGGAATTATTTTAGTTTTCCAGAAACAAGTCTCCAGTTGGCATATAAAGTTTTATGTTACTAATTTTTAGTTTTGTTTGCATGCACAGTTCTGTTATTGCATTCATGGAACACAATTATGCAGCAGCCTAGAAAAAATGCACACATTTACATATGCTCAATTAACTAGTGAAGGAGTTTTAGGTTCTTTTGATGAGTTGACAATGTCACTTATTGAGCCTTATACTGTATGGATAGTCAGTTTAGTTTCATTTCTAACAACATTTTGTTTGCTTAGTCACTGTACTTCCTAATGAAATAGTCATATCCTTGTTAAAAATTTGTTGATGGCTTTTGAAAACAGTGCATGGAAAAATCTGTTTGAGTTTTATTTTTTGGCTGCTTTTTTGTATGTCTTGGCCTTTATTTGTACCAAAGGACATGTCAAATGGTATGCAAAAGTGTGTGTTCTCCCTTACAGCATCAATATTCTGCTCAGCTCATTCCATAATAATTTCCTGTATCATTACAGAATCATAATGGAATTTGCTTGCGCTCCCAAGGCAGGCAGGAGGGAGGTTTGTATTTATTTGAGATTTTGTGATGGCATTTTCAGTGTGTACCCTTTTTGGAGCCTGGGAAAAACAGTGTGGGCTAATAACAGATGAGAAGCTATTCGCAAGCTTCGCAGCACTATCACTGCAGAACAGACCAAGATCTCCCTTGCAAGCAACAAAGCGATTTAATATTTTAATTAGCTCAAATATTTGTAGCAAGGAGGCTCCTGCTATGCTTATCACTCTATGTCATTAACTACCATGAAAGAAATAGCACATTATGACCTACAGTGGCAGCATGTTGGGGTTCTACAGCCATTCTATCACAGCAGCAATAGTCTTTAGTTCTGGGTGAATTTATTCTGGGGGAATTTAACAATCCATCCAGGCTGAAATGTGTTCCTACATCAGAATGCCCAGTGGGCATTTAAAATAAATTGATTCTTCAATGAGGCAAATGAGGCTATATTATTATTAAGTATATCTGGGCAAATTTAAACTTTGGAGATTAGAGAAGTAAAAAAGCTGTATTTTTATGAGATAACTTATTAACTGTTCTTAATTTAAATCTCACAGCTGGTGATCATGAAAATGCTTTATTCTAAATTATTTCTACCTCACTAGTGTCCCTGAAGTGATCTGCTTATGGATCTTTTTCCATAAATACTCTATAAAATAAAATAGATTTCTTTCTACAAAACAGTTTAAGGCATTTGTTACAGAGTGAATGCATTGTTGTTTTGAGCACAGTCCTTAGTAACCTCTGTTTTTTAACATTTAGGCTGATAGTGGCAGCTCTAACTCGGCACCAGGTAGTCCTCTGTACTTCAAGAAGACGGCAGGAATTACAGGTGGCCAACAGACACAGGCAGGTGTTCTGCTGTTAAGGCACACACGGCCAAAAGCAACTGTGAGATTCCCACTCCTCAAGCTCTTGAGCTTCTCAAGAGTCATCCAGACAGATTCCATCTCAGAGGCAGCCTCTGAACTGCTGGATATACAAGGGCAGTATCATACAGCTTTCAATAAAGTTTCATTGCAAAGGATCCCAAGCCAGTGTGATTAAACAGCAAGATAAAGGAAAACAAGATTCACCTTTCAAAAGGCTGAAGCTGTGTACAAATATGGAAAAGAAGAACATTCAGAATCTTTGGTAGGTTAAATGGTAGCTTAAAAGTCTGCCAAATAAAAGGAAAGAGCTTAAACAGCAATTTACAAAATGACTTTAAAAACTTACTACTTTGTCAAGCACTGAAAAGACAGTAAGCCTGACACCAAGGTCTGGGAAAGGAGGGAAAAGAAGGAACAATTCCTAGCACCAACACCCAGAATCTTGTTGGGAACAAAAGCTGACACCTCTGGCCGCCGCCATGGGCAGGGCCTGCAGCAGCCATGGGGCGCAGGGCCAGCGGCGGCCATCATGTGTGGGGCCTGCAGCTGCCGCCATGGGCAGGGCCTGTGGCTGCCATGGTGCACGGGGCCTGTGGCCGCCACCATGGCCAGGGCCTGTGGCTGCCATGGTGCAC